ACTATGGAGCTACTGAAAATACAGAGCTATTAAAATTATGGAGCTACAAATATTAGGGAGCTATGGAGATTTTGGAGCTATTAAAATCATGGAGCTATAAATATTATGGAGCTATAAATACTATGGAGCTACTGAAAATACAGAGCTATTAAAATTATGGAGCCATTGAAATTATGGACCTATAAATACTATGGAGCCTTTTAAATTATGGACCTATTAAAATCACGCACCTATTAAAATCACGCACCTATTAAAATTATGGAGCTATATAATCATGGAGCTATTAAAATCATGGACCTATAAATATAATGGAGCTATGGAGATGCACCTATAAAAATCATGGAGCCATTTAAATTATGGAGCTATTAAATTCATGGAGCTATTAAGTTCATGGACCTATACATACTATGGACCTATAAATATGATGGACCTATAACAATTACAGAGATAAGCCGGGTTTAAGGAGGTGTGTTCGAGAATACAAGCACATCCTATGGGACAATACATTATTTTATTCCAGTGGTATCGGTTATGGAAGTTTTCATGACAAGAGTCTCCTCCTCTTTGGGAGATTTCCTGGATGGTGCTCGCGCATTCTCACCTGAACCACTGTTGCGATCTATTCTAGGTTTTCTCTCTACACTTTTTTGTTACTGAAGCAGGCTTACATTCCTCTACCCCCTACAATATAATGTTATTTTAAAAAAAGACCGACGAGGTCAGAGGAGGGCTGCTGTGTAGAGCTCGGTGACTGGAGGTGGCCCAGCTGGGTGGCGGGCCCACGCTCTGGTAAAAGTCAGTCACGTGACCCGGGCCGCCGTGGTGCACGGTCCCATGACCCGGGTTTCCACACAGTTGCTATTAATGCCCTTTGAGTATGGACAATAATATTAGAGTTGATTTTAGTCAAGTTTGGTAAGATATCGTGTATATAATGATTGAGTTGAACACAAACCAATAAGTAGGTATTGATGACTGGGAATAATTGGAGATGAGTGATCCTTTCATTTGAACCGTGTCCATTCAGACCTGTATAGTAAAATGAACTCAGGTTCGTTACATGTATTAACAGCTATTTACTTCTGCCAAAGTACATTTAGTATGCAGACTTTTTATTGGCTTCACGATATGTTATATATATTCTTTATCCAGTACCATGTGCAATGTTTACTTGTTTGAATCAATAAATCCCTTTTATATCGGTTAAACCGGATGAAAAGAAAGATCGAACTTTTTTCCACTTGATTTATAATAGGAACAGCTATAATTTATTACCGTAGGTGATGAAGTGCCCTCCCCGCCGGCCCGGGAAATTTATTGCGATACAAGAACCCGGGATATTTCTTATAAAACTAATTCTTCTAGAGTGTGCTATTCCTCTTTCAAACGATATGGTTAATTGCTTCATCTACCACATTAAAGTAGGGGTTTATACGTTTATCATCATACCTATTGAAGTTATTTACATTGTGAACATTGACACAACCTTGTTCTCAAGACTTTAATGATCTTAAAGAAGGTCTTGTTATTGATTTACGATTATATGAGTTTATGAATTCCCTAGATAATGACCAAGACACTAGATCTTCAATAACAATTTTATTGACCAATCAATACTAATCTGTTGATATAATTTACCGGATATAAATTATCCTTAGGATACTTCATGCTCAAGTTAAGATAGACCTAAATTAGTAGTCCAGAAGGGAAAAGACGGTTAACTACTATAATGTCAGTGTGACAATAAAAAACTGTGGCTCCTGAAGTTTCAGGATCGTGTATTGATTTTTTAGAAACACAAACGAGCATTAGCATTTCTAATAAGAGGTTTGATCATAGATGTTGGACTTGAATAATTTAAAGTCTTTATCCCGGGAGAGAGCGAGTATGGTGAGACTAGTGGTTGCGGGCGGGAAGTTTTTTTTCCGCTGTTTACTAGAACGCTTTCTATGCTTTTTATGTGTGTTGTCGTTTCATGTCATGTTGTTGTTTTATGTCGTGTTTTTTGTTTTTTTCAATTGGCTGCAATCTATGATTTGCTTGTCGTGTCCCTTATTGCACCTTTACTATAAGAAAGCCTCGATTTCCACGATAAATACGCCCGAAGAACGAAAAATTGATACCACAGGAATACAATGTCCCAGCTAAGAATTTAAAATAATCTACCGATTTTTAAAAACCCCTTCCTGTTCACCCATCTTGTAACTCTGAACCTCTTCTTTTTAAAGGTACCTCATATGCCCCTACAGGCTTCTTCGCAGCCACTGGACGTCAAACAAGACACAGGCACAAAATATGGATAGAGCGGGGGATTTTGAAATTCAGGCTAATTGGCCCTGCGTTTTATTCATACAAATTTGGTAAAAGGCCTCCGGGCTTCCTGAGATCTAGGCTCTCTGGGAGCGGAGGGGTTCATCTGATCCATCCTAGGAATATCATGTTCATAAACCAAATTAATCTGGCGATTGGGCTTTTGTATCTCGGGGCTTTTTTAGAAAGAGTATACATTTTTTTTTTTTGTCACAATGGCAACATCAAATTATGAAGCGCACACTGACTTTAATTAGATTGCCCAAGTAGATTTAGCGCTGCTAAGAATGACGGTCAATTTCGCCATTCAATGCAAACCAATACAGCAACGAGAGTGAGAGAATTTCCCAAGCTAAACCATATTTGCATACTTAACACACGCATGATCCCTTCTTGAAGCACAGGGCTGAACATATGTGAGAATCAAGCAGGTGCAGCCTGACCGGGGCAGTTTCCAGGGAACAATGTGACTTTTTTACTCTCTTCCTCTTATTTACTCTTCTCTCTTTTTTTTTGTTTTGTTTCTGCCAAGTTCGTGGGCCTTGTGGACCGAAGTCTTCAAAAGGTTCTATGATTTTTCAAGCACATCGTGCTGATCTGCAGCTTTCACCCCTAAGAATCTGAATTGAATGATCCATACACTCAGGCTGGCTATTTATGCTTGAAAAGAGCAGGTGTGTTGTGAAAAGGCGCTCAGGCGTCTGTAGACAATATGAAGGAGTTTTTATTTCAATTCCACCCTTGCGTTTTCCATCCCGTGGACACATATAGAAGCTTAGTTGGACTTTAGAATAATGGACGGATAGGCATTTGCAGGTTTACCGAGGCCAACCATTTCAAAGACATCAAAATCACATTCGGCCGTCCCAGAGCAAAAATGAGAAAACGACCATATTGTGGGCCCGCTACGTATTTTTTGGTGGCGTGGAGCCAGTGAGACAGCCGCACATTCATTTGTTTTTTTTTTTTTTGATTAAGTCAAGATCTGCTTTTTGTTATATAGCGCCACTCCTTATGAAATCATAGAGTGAACAAATATAAGTACTCCTGTCTATTCCCCAGTATTAAGTTGGCTTCTTTGTTTGAATACTCATTGTTAAGTCACTTAAGCCATACAAATAGTCAAATCTAAGCCATAAGCCTACTCATTGCACACAGAAATTACATTTTAGATTGCCACGTCATCGTCTTGTTGCGTTCAAAACTGTCAAATTCGGCACTTTGCACCAGCCAAAAAATCGAGCTGCTCTCCACAAACGATCTTGGGCCATAGCTTTAAAAATTAACCTAGAACTGAAAGGAAAGCAAACTTCCATCAGACTTTCATAAGTTACCCTTAAATCCTGAAGTCTGATCCGGGTGTTATGAATAAGCACTGATCAGCCTGTCCTTTCAATATCTGGGAAACGACTGGTACTGAACTTGACTTACTTGGCAGAAAATCACATGTCTTGCATAATTTCAGACACTTCACGAACATTGATTGACAGTCATATCTCTTACATGAACCGAGCCTTCTGTTTTATGTTCTTGCTTGAGTAAGTATATTCCACTTGAAATCAATCTGATAAATCTCGACTACGGATCCCCCCTGTGCCTTACCCCAAATCAGCATTGTTCATTTTCTTGACTTTGGGGCAAAACGGATATTTCATAGGGCAAGTTGTTGCGAGAGTTTATTTGAGAAGAATTTAGTTACTCGTGCACATTTTTCTATGTTTGTGAATAATCTTCACACTGCAACTGCAACCATTGGCGCTATCTTTTCTGGAAAAGTTTTGATCGTTGCTAAAAGGTATATAGGCCGTATAATATCTGTGATCTCTCTTGTCTTTTGCCATTTTATCTCATTAGCTCAAACAACTGTTATCCGTGATAACCAGAAACCCCAATCATTTAATTTCAGACACAGCACATTTCATGTGACCTATTGAAAGAAGACGTAAAGAGAACAGTACGATAGGCCATGTTGAAAACAATCATTGGGAGAATACTACGAAAGGTTATAGAAAATTCCTATAGAAGCACATCATCAAAGTTTTGCTAATCCCTTCACCTTATTCTACGTATTTTTAAACACTATAATTATTGAATCCTTGACACAAAATAGTGAGCACCAAATACCATTAGCGAGACAAGTGTCTTGAAATGTAAAATGCCATCAAATCCATGTTGAATAACTTATTCAACGTCACAATCAACAAATCAGCTGCATCTAAAGCATCGTTCTTACTAAAGAGATGATTCTTCAAAAGATATAGCACGGCTGTTCATTTTCCCAACAGCATGCAACAAAACCATTATTACAGCATATACCCGGGGTTTTATGCTACCCAGCATGAACAGTTCTAAATGCGAGCACTTGCTGCAATTTAATGGCAACATATCCCTGCAATCATTTGAGGAAGTGCTGCAGCAGTTTGGAAACTAGCTGTCATTTCCAAAGATGGAAGCAGATCACAGAGTGTAGCTGGCACCCCGACTCGCCAAGCGAATACTAAAGGAGAATTTTCAAACACAACAAGCAGCTGAAGCTATGATCATGAAGTATTCTCGAATTCATATAATGAGCAGACACCCCGGTACTTGTATGCAGCCCCTACAACCCGCCAGGTATTTGAAAAAAAAATCCTGTCTTTCGGTTCTTTTGTATTGATCGTTCATCATACGTGATGCCGGGAAAACCCCAAGGTACAGCAGCACGTCGTTGTGGATTTCGCTGTAAACCAACTCTCATCGGGCCTCGTATATGCCGCGCGTCTGCTCGCGTATAGCTACCCGAAAAGGCCACACGAGCCAGTCATACTTCCCATTTGGCCGGCCCATGTCAGGTATTCCCCCCACAAAAAAAGAAAGCCATACCAGAAAAAAAATGTGGCCTTTCAATGAGCGCACAGTCTTTGGGTATTTGCATAGTTTTGCTCCTTCAATCAGATGAATCTAACAAAAAAAAATGGGTGCTCGTCTTCGCCAGCTGCACGACGTGAACAGAGCTGGAGGCCAGGCCTAGAACAGAAGAGTGAACAGAACCAGCCCCATATCTAGGTATGTCCAAAAACAAACTAAATAAAAAAAAAGTGCAGAACAATTGCGGCCGCACTTGCCAGAATCATTTCAGCCGTCTTCCTGTCCCCGCTTCTGACCAGTGCCTCCGTTTATTGGCACTCGCTAATAGCGTGTCTAGAAGCCCGCGTTTTGTACGGGACCCCCAGGTCTGACATCAACATGCAACTCTCGTTCTTTCCCTTCATCCTCGGCAAACACTTTTCGCTTTCCCTGGCTTTCTGAACACACTCGGCTCCATTTTTTGAGACGGTCTCGGACTGACATTTGGACTTCAGAGCCACGTCTCCACTGCCTGAGCGGACAGCTCCAATAGAGGAAGAGAAATCGGTGCCCATTCCACTCGTCACCGATACATTTTCCGCCCCTTTTCGGCACACGCGTTTTCCCAAAACACACCCTCGGCAACGATCCCGAAGATTGCCTGGGCACCCTGCAGCTTGCTTTGCCTGGGTATCCTATAGCTTGCATTTCCGGCTCTTTTTCCCTAATTTCCCGCCGCCATATGTCCATGTCCTCAAGACAAGAGGCGCCCGGCCAGAACTCCCGCTTGGCAGCTTTGTACATTGCCGGCTGGTACCTCTTTTCCGTGTCCATTTCCGTGTACAACAAGTGGATGTTCGGCAGCGGCTTGAACTTCCGGTTCCCGCTTTTCGTGACCGCGTTCCACCAAACATGCCTCTTCATATTGAGCGTGGGCGTGCTCTACTTCCGGCCGGGTCTCCGGCCCGGCGCCAACAAAGCATCGCAGACCTTCCGGCAGTCCTTGGCGATGCCGCTCAAAATGTATGCGGCGCAGATCTTGCCCTGTGCCTTGGCGTCGGCCGGCGACATTGGGCTCAGCAACGTCGCGCTCAAATACATCTCGTTGTCCTTGTACACGATGCTCAAGACCTCCAGCTTGGTGTTTGTGCTTTTGTTCGGGCTCTTGTTGCGGCTCGAGCGCTTCAACTGGCGCCTCGTGGTCATCGTGGTGGTCATGTGCGCGTCCGTGATGATGATGACCGAGCAGTCGGGAAAGCCCGCCGAAACCACCGACAACGGGTCGCAGCCCCTCGGCGTGGTGCTCATCTTGGCCGCGTCCGCGGTGTCCGGGTTGCGCTGGTCGTTCACGCAGCTCCTCTTGAAGAACAACGAGTACACGAAGCACCCGATGCAGACGATTCTCTACATCTCGCCGAGCATGACGGCGGCCCTCTTTGTGTTTGGCTTGATCTTCGAGGGCTGGCAGGCGTTCACGGCGCTGCCCATGTGGGTGGAGAAGGGCGTGTGCGAGACGACGCTCCTCATGGTGGCCCCGGGCATCTTGGCGTTCTGCATGACGCTCTGCGAGTTCCAGCTTCTCTCCGTGGCGCAGATTTTGACCTTGTCCGTAGCCGGCATTTTCAAGGAGTTGCTCACCATCATGCTAGGCTCGCTCATCTTCGGCGACACCTTGAGTCCGCTCAACTGCGCGGGCTTGGTCATCACCTTCCTTGACATTCTATGGTACAACTACTTCAGGTACACGGAGCCCGACGCGCCCGCCAAAAACGGGTACGCGGCTTTGCAGCAGGACTCGGAGAGCCAGGCGCGGGCCCTGGAGAGCATTGAGTTGAAGCAGCACTGAGCTGCGGCCGGCGCCTCGTGGGGGACCCGGCGCCCTTCCCAGAAACCACCGAGCCGCATAATACCTACAGTATAGACACCCCCGCCGGTAGCGAACGGAGCTACGTGCAACAATGAGCCTGGACTGGCCATGCATATGTTCAATGTACTGTTCCGGCGTGTTCTCACATGAACACGAGTCCCATGATCCCGCCTAGTAGCAACACCCCGTATAGCACGAGGCTGCTGGTCCTGGCCCGTTCGTTCAAGGAGCCCGCTCCTCCCGACATCGACTTTGCGTCTGCAGCGCTGGCACTGTCGGCCGCGGAGCTGGTGTGGCTGGGCTTCTGCGATAAGTACACGTGGCCCGAGCTGATCACCACGTTGGTGAGGAGGCCCGGGTCCGAGTACATGGCCGAGAAGTTCTGCGTGCCGAAAGTTAAGGTCAAGTCGCTGGAGACCGTGGCGTTCGTGGCAAAGGGAATGTAGTCCGACTCGATGTACGCCGCCGTGGAGCTGTTCTGCGCAGCGTGGCCCAGGGCCAGGGCCTGCGGCGTGAAATCCGTGTTGGCGTTTGCCACGGCAATCAGGCCCCCTTCGTTGTCCATGGCCATGTAGATGTTCAGGAGGAAGGACGTGCCGAAGGCGTTGTATCCGAGCAAGTCCGCGGGCGCGATGTTGAAGACACACGCGTCCAGGCCGTCGGAGAAGGTCAAGTTGGTGTAGAGGCTGGGCTGCACGATGGAGCTGAGCGGCACCTGCACGGACAAGGGCCCGAACTCGAAGTTGACCGACGCGTCGATGTCGTCGACCGCAGAGCAGTTGACGAGCCACGTGTCGTATTCCGCCGTGAAGTACGCGTTTGTCTGGAGCGCGAGGCTGATGATCACGGCCCGCGGCAAGTACGAGTAGATCAACGTGGGGTCAAGCACGACGGCCACGGGCCCGTCCTCGTACAAGTCCGCCACCTGCTGCGTGTCGGGGTTCTCGAGCTCGATGGAGTCCAACTGCAAGATCGGGAGGATGGCGTTGTCGTCACCCCAGCCCTCGTGCGGGATCTGCGGGAACACGTACAAGTCGCCCACATACAAGTTCTGGTCCACCGCGCCCAAAAGCACATAGCCGCACACGTCCGCCACGCTGCGGTTGTAGTAGAACGCCGAGAAGCTGCTGCACAAGATGCGGCCGTCCGACTTCAAGGTGTCGAGCACGCCGCCGCCCTGCACCGGCCCGGCCAAGCCAAAGCCTCCCTGGAACAGGTTGGTGTCGTCCGCCAAAAGATACAGGAGCCCGTCGAGGGCCACGGATCCGTTGCCCGAGCCTTCGGCGTCCACGGTGTCGAGCGAGAAGTTGGAGTTCATAAAGTACCCGCTGCCGTAGTAGCCGTATGGGTACGTGATATTGAGAGAGAGCGTGGTGGGCACGGAAACCGTCTGGGTCACGGTGGACGTGTGCAGGCCGTTGGCCATGGTGGTGACGGTCAACGGCGTGTACGCGCCATCGTTGTAGCACTCGTTGATGTCGTAGACGTTGTCGCTGACGGTGACGTACGTGGGCACGTTGGTGAAATTGAAGCTTTGGTAGATCGGGTAGATGGCCGAGCAGTTCAAGATCTCCTCCGCGTTGACGAACCACACGTGCGGCTGCATGTAGTCCAACAGCACGGAGATCTCCTGGCCCACGTTGTCGGTGACGATGATGTTGTACGCCAGAAAGTCGCCGCTCATCACGGGCACCGTGATCATCGCCGGGCCCAGAGAGGAGGACGTGGTGGTGGCGTTTGCGCTCACGCTTGCAGACGACTGCAGGAAGACGGACGACGACGCTGCCTGGACGCTGCCCACCAACAGTAGCGCTGCCAAGCAGAAAAAGGGGTGGTGGAGTATGCTCACCATGAGAGGCAGAGATGACTGTGCAATTTTTTTTTGCCACGCACGTAGCCTAGATGAGATCTGATACTCCGGGACGAAAAGTGGGTGGCTCTGGCAGCGATGTTCTGAGCTCAATCAGCACCAACCTCGGTTGCAGGCAAAGGCTGTGCAGAGTGCTTTCTGTGGCTAGAAGACTCTTACTTTGCCTCTTTTTTTTAAGCGCATGCCGACTATTTTAAGAACGTCTTGAGAGCCCGCGCAATTGCGTCGGCCGGCATACAGTAGTCTAAATGCCGCTTATGCGCACTCTGTCGCTGGTAACTGCCGTACCAACGCCGGCCCGAGCTCCGCGCACCCCTCCGGCCTGGGCTGGCTGCAGGAATCGCTCGTCGCCGACAATTGGGCCCACTGTCCGTGGAGCGGAAATGCCTTTTTGTTTCGCCAAGACTCTGGCGCCGCTTTCAAAAAAACCGGACCTTGGCCGCTTTCGTGGCCTCAACAGCTCGAATGGAGCTGACGTCTTTAGATAAAACGCGAGAGCGCGAAGGCTTGGCTGCTGCCATGCAGGAGGGGTGTGTTCAATTCACCCGTTTGGCTGAGACGTCGCCAGCTGCCCACCTTGAGTGAGCGGAATACATACGCTCTACGGAGCAAGTAGATTAGGCAAAAAATTGCGTTCAGAGAGGTTTTACATATGCGTTCTCCGCTGCTTTCTATGGCCGCCTGAGAAAGCTGGCTGCCCTGACTGCATTGTGTTGGTTTATATTGTGATGGCTGTATTGTCTTGTTTTTTGTGGCTCAGGGCCGTGCACTCACAAGTAAATGAACAGATCGCATCACTTGAATTGGGCGCGGCGCTCATGCACATTCCCACCCATGAACTGCCCCGGGACATGCGCTCAGAAAATGCAACGTTTCGTCTCTGTTCTGACTGTACTCTCGAACATCGGTTGCGTGCACACGAAAAGACAAATCCGTGATGACGGTAGGGGAGCGTCGTAAATCTGCACAGGGATTAAGTTGCTCGGGCTGAGTAGCGTGCTGTGTGCAGGCCGCGGACGATCCGACAATAGGAGAGGAGAATGCTCGTGTTCACCGAGGCCACCGCCCAAGAAAATACAGCGGCTCGAATTGGCGGCTGAAACGGAGTGCTGCTCTTGGCGTGCCCAACTTTAGCGAGGGGATTCTCGAGCTCAATTTCTGGAGCCGTTCTGCCTACAACCTGTTTCGAACAGACGCAGACCGTCCAGGCCGTGATTACCGGAAGGGGACCCGAGTTTCGACACCAGGTTAGTGTCCGGGAGTGGCTCAAAATTCTTTTGTGTATTATTGCATAGATTTGTTTCTTCAAACAAATAAATATACCAAAACACAAACAACTCGGCTCCTTCCGCCTCGCGACTATTGGGCCTGATTAAAAGCTCAAGATGCAGAATAGGGGCTAGGTCTTGAGATCACTCGGTCTAAGAGCGGCAACTACTGCATGTGGGCGGAGTGATCCGGTAGTCAGCACAGTCGGTGACGTGGATTAGTATCGGCAACTGGGGGATTCATCGACGTTGTTCGTGTGATGTCATTTTCGTAATTCAGCCCATGTTGAGTGGCATTGGGCGGCGTAAATCTGGGACAAATATCATCTCGCCCGGGAAAAATCCTTTTTGGATTCTTCGCAATCCCGAGGCCGACAAACATTGAGTTTTTGACTCATTTCTCGTAGTGTGAGCGAATCATGCCTCGAGTTTGACTTCGCTATGCTCCGAGCCTCCACCGAACGCGGAGAAGCATGCAAGAGCCAGTAGCATCTAGGTATCAGCACAAGGTGAAACTAATTTCAGCAAGTTTTCAAAACCCAGCGTGGCTGGCGTAGATGTTTTCGTGGGTGTGGAATACGAATACCTGACAAATTTCCCGGGCTTCGGTCAAATGGAACCGGCATGGTGTTGCTACTTATACCCGGGTCTGCTACTATAACGCGGCTGATATATACCCAGCTCTGCTGCCATATAGCCGGCTACTATAAGCCCCGATCTACTGCTGTATACTCGTCTTTGCTACCATGGGCCCCAGCAACAAGCCTCGTGCTCCGGCTCCAGAAAATGTTAAGCCTAATTGAAGCCCTTTCCATCGTATGTTCAAAATGCTGGAAACGCTCGCAGTCTGCGGTGGAAGGTGACTGCGGGGGCGCCCTCAGGTTCGGTCGCTTCACGAACTTTCCCTTTTCTAGGCCCGGTGGCGTCCATGAACACGCTCGTAGCACTGGATTCTCTGAGCCCTCAAAAATGAACGGCGCCCGAAATTATACTTCCCGTCTGCCGAAGCCCGCGCAGACCTGCATGCCCCGCGTAAAAGAGTACTCTACTCAGATACTACCCGGCCGGCACACAGTGTCGGCTTGGTGCGATGCTAAGCACCAGCTGCCTGGAACCGAGGTTCTAGAACCAGCAGAGAAGGTGCCGGCCGGGCATAAAAAACGGATGCAAAACAGCTGCTCTGCTAGACGCGGCATTGGCTGCTTGGAGCCGATCCGTGCAACTTGGGGGACGCATGTGCCGGGAAAACCGGGTATGTCTGGTCACGTGACCGGCGGCCCCGGCAGGCCCTGGAGTGGCACGACAAGATGGCTAGCGGCGGGCGGCGGGCGGTGGGCGGCGGGCGGAACCGTTTTTCAGTTTGGGGCTCCGGGAGGACCGCGGCCTGTGAAATAATATATTCTGGTTGGAGGTGTCGAAAACATGTCTTTGGCCTTCTGCAGACCGAGCCTGCACACCGGCAGTCCGCCTCTTTTCTCTTCTCGCAGTTTGCATTACAAGCGTGGAGCTCCTAAGCACCCTTCGAAAACACCACTTGTGCACAACCCGGGCGAACCTCACAGGCGGGTCTTTTTCTTTGCTTTGCTCCCCGACTCCGGCGCCGAAATATCCTGCTGCATCTGGCACCTTTCCGCTGAGCCGCATAGCCGTTTCCCGCTGGGCTTCGCTGCCTTTCCGGCTATATCTTATTGCCATATATAAGACAATACACTGCCGTCCGCTGCTAGTGTATTGTCTTGGTCTTTTTGCTTGCACGGCTGCATTGCGGACAGAGCTCTTTCGAAGCTCCGTCTCCGTCTTGGCGAACACCGCCACTGCACGACCCGCGGCACTGCCCAATCCTGGCCTATCAGTACTGATCGATCGTCCGGTATTGCCGTCTGCCCGACTGGTGCCCAACACTGCTGCCCAAGACTGCTTTTGCGTCAAGCACAGGCACATCCTTGAGTACGGCATCTGCTGACCCCGGGCCCCAGGACTCACGCGCAGATCCGGTATCTCCAACAGGTCCAGTATCTCCAACAGGTCCACCAACAGGTCCACCAACAGGTCCACCAACAGGCCCACCAACAGGCCCATCACCAGGCACTCTCGCCGGCGCCATGAGGCTCTTTGCCAAGAAAAACGGCACGCCCGGCAAGAAGCGCCGCATCAAGATCGGCATCCGCCCGCAGCTCATCATCCTCGTGTGCTTCGCGTCGCTCTTCTCCTTGCTCATTCTCGCCACCGTCATCGGCGTCTACGTCTCCAACATCGTGTCCGGCCTACGAGCAGACCGGCTCTCGGTCATCGCAGACCTCAAGCGCACGCAGATCCTGCAGCTGTTGCAGTATATCTACTACCAGGTGGCGTGGCTCTCGCAAAGAGACACGCTCACCACGCCGCTCCTGAACTACCGCGCCGGCAACTACTCGCAGCTGGTGTTTCTGCTGGCGCAGACGTCGCTCGACCTGTTCCTCGCCACGTCCGACACGTTTGCGCTGGCCAAGTTGTACTCGTTGGATTTGGCCGTGGTGGCCGAGTCCACCAACGCCGAGGTGCCCATCTCGGACTCCATCGAGGACGCGCTCTTCATTCTCCTGAACACCACGGTGGTGCCCGCGGCCGTGACCGCCACCAACAACTCGAACGCGGTGCCCACGGGCCACGTGTCGGGACCCTTGGCCAACTCCTACACGCGGGCCGACGACACCAACGCCACGTTCTACATGGGCATCACCATGCCCATCTACGCCAACACGTCCATCATCGTGCACGAGCTGCTGGTGGCCGGCTACCTCACGGTGGTGGCCAGTGCCAAGCTGGTCAGCGCCGCGCTCGACGCGCTGTCCTACGAAGAAGACTACTTGTGCGTGACCATCGAGCCCATCTACGCGGCCAACAGCTCGGCCGCGGACCTGGACGAGCTCATCGGCTTCCAGGCGCTCTTTGGCGACGTGAGCCTGGAGATCTACTACAACACGTTCGTGGACATTCTGCGGTCCGAGGCCGCGTCCGAGGCGCTCACGCGCGGCGACGGCACCGCCACCAACGAGCAGCTGCTCAAGGGCTACAACGTGGCCATCGGCTTCTCGCGCATCTACATCGACTCCGCCACCACCTGGAGCGTGATTGTCGAGCAGAGCCAGAGCCGCTTCGAGCGCCCGGTCAAGAAGTTGACCAAGATCATGATTGGCGTGGTCATCGGCATCGGCGTGTTCGTGTGCCTCATCACCTTCCCGATCGCGGTGTGGTTCGTCATCCCGATCACCAAGCTCAAGAACGCCATCGAGTCCATCACCCGCTCCAAGAAGGAGAAGGACGCCTTCGTGGCCGGGCCTGGCGCCCGCTCCGTGTCCCCTGCCGGCTTGGGCGATCACAACGACGATGACGACAGCAGCATGGACGGTAAGAACATCGCCGACAAGAACATCGCCGACAAGAACATCGCCGCGGCGCGCAGCCGCGCGTCCAAACGCAACTCCATTAACACCACCAGCACAGGTGGCTCTACCGTGTACCTGACCGGGATCCGTCTCCCGGAACGCATTCCGCAGCTGAAGAAACTTTTCAAGGACGAAATCACTGAGCTCTCCGAAGCTTTCAACATCATGACTGAGGAGCTAGAGAAGCAGTACAGCCATTTGGAGGACCGCGTGCGCATGCGCACGAAGGAGATCGAGGCCTCCAAGATCGAGGCCGAGGCGGCCAACGAAGCCAAGACTGTGTTCATCGCCAACATCTCGCACGAGTTGCGCACCCCGCTCAACGGTATACTCGGCATGACCTCCATCGCCATGGACGAGACCGACCACCTGCAAATCCAGGACTCGTTAAAGCTCATCCACAGATCCGGTGAGTTGTTGTTGCACATTTTGACCGAGTTGTTGACCTACTCCAAAAACACCTTGAACCGCTCCAAGCTCGAGAAGTCCAACTTCCAGATTCTAGAGGTCGTCTACCAGGTGAAGTCCATCTTCAGCAAGTTGGCTCTCGACCAGCGCGTCAACTTCAAGATCCTCTTGAAGCCCCGGATTCTCCGCAACCTCATTCTCTTGGGCGACTCCAACAGAATCATCCAGGTGGTCATGAACCTCGTCTCCAATAGCTTGAAGTTCACTCCGGTCGATGGCGCTGTTGATGTGACCATAAAATTGTTAGGCGAATACGACCAGGAGGCCTCGCAGAAAATCGACTTTGCCAAGGTGCTCGTCAAAAAACCACATATTGATTTGGATGAAAAGGACGAGGATGCGGCCGAGGCCGACACACATAAACCTACCAGGTTACAAACTCGCCCAAACGACCTGAGGAGAGACTCAGCAGCCAGCAAATCAAACGCTCCAATCCAGAGTCAGAAGCAAAATACCGACGAGATTCTAGATAACAGCAGTATCACGACTTTTTCCACCACTGAATACGAGGATATCATGTTCAGATCGCAGTTCAACCACCTGAAGCCACTCCCTGTCGTACCTCCTGGGCACAATCGGTCCCCTCAAACATCGCAAAATGAGGGCTCAGATTATGCTCTCGGGTTTAATGAGAAACGAGAGAACTCCGGGACTTCATCTCTGTCAGAAATCTTGCCTCTGCCTGATTCTTCAGTCACGCAATCCGATGGCTCCAGCTCTAGAAATAGTGCTATCAACAAGCTGGTGTCTAGGCCCTCTCTCAGCAACGTGGTATCAGAAAAATCTAATCTCACCGACATCTCCACAAATGAGTTAGTGAAGGACAATGAGGTATACAAAATGAGAAAGTTGTATATACCAACATCTTGGGTGATTCAAATTGAAGTCCGTGACACCGGCCCAGGTATCGAACCAGCTCTCCAAGAAAAGGTTTTTGAGCCATTCATTCAAGGAGATCAAACACTCTCCAGAAGCTACGGGGGCACGGGCTTGGGTCTTTCCATTTGTCGTCAACTTGCAAAAATGATGCAAGGTACGTTGACACTTAAATCTGATATTGGTAAGGGGTCGACGTTTACGTTCACTGTACCCTTGCCTCAAAGCGGAGAGATCGTTGTCCCTCCCGAAAAGATGAAAGAGTTCAGTGAAGACGAGTTTAATCCAAACTCAAGAATGAACCGGAAAGTGCTTTTCAACATTGATGAGCCAAGCTCGAATTCGGATGGGCAATCAGCTGAAACTCGACACAGTCCTGTGGACTCTGAGAAAGAGGCGAAACAATGCAGGTCAAATAGGAATAATTACCCGCAACGCATTGATCTTCCTCTTCCCCAACTGTCTGTGGGGACAGCTGATCAAACGCCAACCGGAGAAACATGTCTCGATGACATTTCTCATTTGAAGATTCTCGTCGCAGAAGACAACCTGGTCAACCAGGAAGTCATCAAGAGAATGTTGAAACTTGAGGGTTTTACAAACATCACTATGGCTGTAAATGGAGCAGAGGCCGTTGACCTTGTCAAGAAGTCATATGACACAATGTCTTTGTATGACATGATTTTTATGGATGTTCAAATGCCAAAAATGGACGGTTTAACCGCTACGAAAATCATCAGAAACAACTTGAAGTTTACCAAGCCCATCGTGGCATTGACGGCATTTGCGGATGAGAGCAATGTGAGGGAGTGCTTGAACTGCGGCATGTCTGGATTCTTATCAAAACCAATCAAAAGAACTAATCTCAGGAAGATTGTTGCGGAAATTAGTCCGGAACTATTGAGTGACATTGTCACACCTCCCAGCACCTATCTCGAAGAGGAAAAACGGCACGAATATTTTCCTGTGGAGGGTATATCATCCCCTACAGGACAGCAGAAAAATGGTAGAGGCAAAGAGAAGAGCTCAGGCCTAGAACAAAAGACAGACCAAAAGAATAATCTACAGCAAGATAAGAACGGTGCGTCTAATCAAGAAAACGGAGACGCCAGGCATCATGACGAACCGAAATAGGTATCCTTGAAGCTTACATCGTGCTATCATATACATCTTAGCTTATAGACATACCCGGTATTAATACTCATTCTCGTCAAGATAACACTTGACTTTCGAAAATCCTTCAAGCAGTAGTATTCTGGTGGCCTATGGGAACAGGAGAGCCATTTGAAAGCACGGCGCCGCTCGCCGGAAGCAGCGATTTAGTGTGCAGTACATACGTAATTGTGAAGCTGGCTGAAGGGAAATTGGGAAGCGAGAAAACCACAACCCTTCTTTTCTCGCTGCCTCATATTTTTGCGCCACTTAAGGTTATACCAAGGCCCTGGCTCAGATACAAGGCTTTGTAGCACACCTTGAGTTATATTCTCAGTCTGTGAACAGGACATCCGTGGTGTTTTCAAAGATTCGCTTGAGACGTTATTTCCTGTTCTGGCTGTTCAAGAGGCGGAGACATAGCAGACAAGACATGTGGGTTTCCACCGAGCCGGCTGCAGCAATGGGCGAGAAGAAATCGCCTTATAAAAATTACCGGGTTTACCGCTCGTTGTACTATGGGCTAGTGGTCCTTGCCTTCTTAGTGTGGGGGTCCGTTGTCCTTGTATCTAGTGTTTCTTCTCTCATGGGCCACAGAGCCCTGGCTCAATATGGTTTATGTTCTCTTCGCTCGCTTAGCAGTCAAGAAGTGTATCCTTGGCACAAAATCCATAGTACTAGAAAGCATGTGACGCTCGAGACGCTTCGTGACGGCACGTTCAAGCCTAATTTCAAGGAGCTTCAGTGGATCCAGAGCCCGGAGTCTGCCTCCAATGACCAGGGCACTTACTTGCTCAAAGACAAAGTGGACAGCCGCACAACCTACCTGGTGAAAAGCATTGTGGACGAGAACTTCCACTACAAGATCTTGGATGATGCAAAGTTCACCTACCATGGCGTGGACTACATCGTGGAGTCCTTGAAAGCGTCGCCAGACTTGTCGAAAGCGATCTTGAAGACAGATGCCTCCAAAGGGTGGCGCCATTCGTCGACAGCGCTCTACTGGATTTTGGACGTGAAAACAGGCGATATTGCACCGTTGCTCAATGCGCACGATAAGCTCTCGGTGACATCATGGGCGCCCACGTCCGACTACATTGCGTTTGTGTTCAAGAACGACGTCTATGTGAAGAGCTTGGAGTTCAACACGATTTCACGCGTCACGAAAGACGGCAGTGCCGATATCTTTAACGGGAAACCCGACTGGGTGTATGAGGAAGAGGTGTTCGGCACGGACATAGCAATGTGGTGGTCCCCGCGGGGAGACAGGCTTTCTTTTTTGCGCTTTGACGATACCCTGGTGCCGGAGTTTACAATCCCCTACTATGTGCAACCGGGCCACGACGAGTACCCGGAAGTGCGGTCGATCAAGTACCCGAAACCCGGGTATGCAAACCCAAGCGTGGACGTCATTGTGGCGCAGCTCCCAAAGACCCTGGGAGGCGCGTTTTCCGTTCACGTGGCACGGCTCCCGTCGGAGAAAATCTCTGACAAGGTGGTCACCGAGGTGCTCTGGGTGTCGGAGGATTTTGTGATGGTCAAGACGACCAACCGGGCCAGCGACATCATGGAGGTGTTCTTGGTGTCTGCCGATGCAAGCACCGGGCCGAACACCCTGGAGCCCGGTGCCGCAGCGCAGCTTGTGCGGACTCAGCACGCTGAAAACTCGTGGTTTGAGGTCACGTCCAACGCCGTGTACGTGCCCAGAAACGACCTGTTGGGCAGGTACACGGACGGGTACATCGACATTGTCACGTCAAACGGGTACAACCACTTGGCGTACTTCACGCCGCCAAACAACCCCAAGCCGATGATGTTGACCGAGGGCCAGTGGGAGGTGATCTCCAACCACGTGGATCTCCTGAAGAACGAGGTCTACTTCGCGGCCACCATCGACTCGTCGGTGGAGAGACACTTTTACTCGGTCAACTTGCTTGATGTGTTCCACCAGCAGGGCTCTCCTGCAATCAAGCGCATAACCCTGGGCACGTCCTGGTACAGCGGCTCGTTCTCGCTGGGCTCGCGCTTCGTGCTTTTGAACTACCAAGGCCCGGGCGTGCCGCACCAGAGCTTGGTGGATTTGCACGACGGCAAGACCGTCAAAGTGATTGAGGAAAACGCAGATTTGCGCAACACGCTCGAGGAGTTTGACTTGCCCAGGCAGGTGGTGGGCACAATCAACCTTGGCCGCGACGAGGCCACGGGGGGCGACGTCGTCGCCAACACGGTGGAGATTTTTCCCCCCTCCTTCAACGAGAGCAGAAAGTACCCTGTGTTGTTTTACGTGTATGGCGGGCCCGGGTCGCAGATGGTGACCCAGGAGTTTGCCGTGGGCTTCAGCCATGTGGTGGCGTCCCAGCTCAATGCCATAGTGGTGACCGTTGACGGGCGAGGCACGGGCTTCAACAACCGGGACGCCAAGTTGGGCTCTGCGTTCAAGTTCTGCGTGCGGGACCGCTTGGGCCATTTCGAGCCGTTGGACCAGATCGAGGCCGCCAGGCAGTGGGCACGGCGCGCGTATGTGGACGAGACGAGAATGTCCATCTGGGGCTGGTCGTACGGTGGGTTTTTGACGCTCAAGACCTTGGAGACCGACACGGACAACGTGTTCTCGTACGGCGTGGCAGTGGCGCCGGTCACCAAGTGGAAGCTCTATGACTCCATCTACACGGAACGGTACTTGCGGACGCCGCAGGAAAACGCCGTGGGGTACGAGACTGCCAGCATCGCGGATGTGCCGCAGTTCAGCAGCGTCAAGCGGTTCTTGATCATGCATGGGCTGGGCGACGACAACGTGCACTTCCAGAACAGCTTGCGTCTCTTGGACGACTACAACTTGGCGGGCGTGGAGAACTACGACTTCATGGTGTTTCCCGACTCGGACCACTCGATCCGCTACCACAACGGCAACACTGTGGTGTTTGACCGGATCTTCGACTGGCTCCGGCGCGCTTTCAACAATGAGTTTGAGGCTGTGGTCTACCCCGATCACAGCGAGCTCTAGGTGGGCTCGGCTCTATGTGGACTTGGTTCTAGGTGGACTTGGTTCTAGGTGGACTTGGTTCTAGGGAGATGAGGCTCTGAGTGAACACGGGAGCGAGCGGCGGTTTTTGCGTTGTTTCTGGTGACACTGGCTTCTTTCTGTGCTGACTCATGGTGCGCAATGGTCTACGGGCATGGTTGGATAGAGTGCCCCGTGTCTATGGGGCCTTGTGGTTTCTGGTGCTAATAGGTCTATGGCGTGCAACGGACTACGTCCATGGCACTATGGCGTCCAACGGTTTGTGATGTTGAACAATCGGTGATTTGCAAACAAACTGAACAAATTTCATCGGAGTCAGATCCATGACACACAGTGGTTTGAAACGGCAAAGACGAGCGGCGTCACCTCGTATTAATTACCTAATTTCCTAGCCTCCGGTGACAGTCTGCACTCGGAGTGCAGGCGAGAGAGGTTCTGCGCGCGTGGGCGTGGGTGCAAAAAACACTGGAGAACGAAAAATCAAAAAAAAAAAAGAAATTCTCCAGATAACGTTCATAGGCCTCCCTCTGGCCGACAATAAACGTGCCCCACACATCGAAAAACCGCTCCTCTCGCGGGACCCGAGGCTGGTTTTATCCAAGACACCCTTACAAAAAAAAAAAGAACACTCGAAGGAAACAAGGCCGCCCGTGCCATAGCAGTCTCTGCCTGGGCTGTCGCCGCATGGCTCGGCCGGGTAACCGCATCCCGCGCCATACAGCAAAAATTTTCCGCACCGTATAAAATGTACCGTGTCTTCCCCCGCGATCACAACCTGTCTCTAGGCACCAGAATCAGCACATAATGAAGATCTACACCGACATTTTCTCCGGCGACGAGTTGTTGTCCGACGCTTACGACCTCAAGGAGGTCGACAATGTCGTCTACGAGGCCGACTGTGCCATGGTGCAGGTGTCCTCTGGCGGTGACGTCGACATTGGTGCCAACGCCTCTGCCGAGGAGGCTGGCGATGACTTGGAGGAGGGTGTTGAGACTGTCAACAACGTCGTGTACTCTTTCAGATTGTCGCAGACCTCTTTCGACAAGAAGTCCTTCTTGACCTACATCAAGGGCTACATGAAGGCCGTCAAGGCCAAGTTGGCTGAGACCGACCCAGACCAGGTTGAGGTTTTCGAGAAGGGTGCCCAGGCCTACGTCAAGAAGGTCATTGGCTCCTTCAAGGACTGGGACTTCTACACCGGTGAGTCCATGGACCCAGATGCCATGATTGTGTTGTTGAACTACCGTGAGGACGGCACCACCCCATACGTGGTCATCTGGAAGCACGGTGTCAAGGAGACCAAGATCTAAATCTGTGTATTAATATTAGAAACTGTGAACCGACGGGCGGACCGCTCGCTGTTGTAGTTTGGGCTTGGAAGCGCTTGTTTTGCAAGCTGCAGAAACCGGTGCGGCTTTCTGCTTCACCGAGTTGGTGATTGCTTCACTGAGCCCGGCTTCTATTTAATGTACTTTCTGGGATGAGTACATTGGCCAGGAACTCTGAAGTGGCTTGGGAGGATTAACCGTCATTAGCCAAGATATTAAACCTCGCCTTCTTGGTACCAAGCCATGCACCGCCTTTCCTGCCGTTGTGTGCGTCAGGTTCACTGCTAGAGCCAGTTGTGGGGCTCCCTGGTTCATTCTGTCCCACTGAAACTCTTGATCGTCCTCCATGTTTCGTTTCGGCTCAACGATCATACGCAGTAGTTGATGTGTAGAAATGATGGAAAATACTTTCTGGGAGCTTCTTCAGATTCAATTGTTAGTTCCTACGCCACAAGTTTCATCATTTGTATAACAGTCTCCTGGCAGTAGAGGTCTCTTCAAGTTGCAAGCAACACATGCGGGATAGTGTGAAAGTACACCCAAACCCATGCTGAATTCTCCTGAAAATTCTCCGGACTTTTCCCAGCTTGAAGTGTTCCCACGTTCCCGTCACTTCACATAAAAACAAAACCCCGAAAGTATATGAACCAGTAGCGTGTTCACAATTTTTGTTCCTAACATATGCGAAGAAACTTCAATCTAAAGACCATCCTGTGAGAAGTATCTTGTTTCGAAGCCCCTGATATTAGAAACCTAGACCCTGTTCTGCGGCATAATCCATCAGCGTTTGGCTGCAGTCTGTCAGTCCAGCTTTGTTCATTTGAGTTGTTTCCGAGTCACTCTCAAGCAATGGTTTTCTAACGTCGACTCCTTGTCTGCGTAAAGAAACAATTCTGCCTTATTGTTTTCCATCAAACTGTTGATTGCATCCACGCGACTATCGTCAATCATTCTCCTTGCAATCAAGCCCAACCTTTCTCTCTCTTCATAGGTATATCCGGACTCATGCTTATCTTCCTGGCCTTCTCTTTTTCCACAGACCGCCCAAGTGACTATTTTCTTCAAAACCAGGAACTCGCGGGCGCCCACAACTCCATTTTTGGCCAAAAAATCCCGGGACTGTGGGAGAAACTGTCCATAGTCACAAACGTGCCTACAGCACATGGCTACGACAACCCCGTCTAGTGCGTCTCTGCTTTTCTTCGAGTTCAAGATCAGCTTCAACGTCAAGTCTGTGGCCGCCCCACACAAGTGCTTGGAAATGGCAACAATAGACAGGTGCTGCATGTACTCCATGAACTTATCAAGATCCAAGTGCTGAATATCGATTCTAGAGCGCTTGATCTGGGGGTGAAGCTGAGAACCCTCGCAGTCGCTCACAATCTTGTTGTCCATCTTCATACGATTGACACCACGGTCAATGAGCCCAAACCCATAGATCAGATTATTTTTTAGGTCATGCTGATCCGCCCCCACTTCCTTCTTTTCAAGAACTGTGTCAAAAATCACGCAGGCATTGACGGTCCGCGAGAGCTCGGCTTTTCCACAACCAAACTCTACATACACGTTCTTTCTTGAAAGGAGATCTGTCTCCTTCATGGCCCCTATGAGTGAAGCTTGCTGTACAATATGTTTTTTGTTCTCTTTTTTCGAAAGCCAGCTATCAAGGCCTGCGTGCTTTTGAATTTTCGACTCTAGGCTTGGTACCTTCCTGTTGTAAGTTTCAAGGACACCGAACAACTTTCTGAAGAGAGCAGGTTCATTCTCGGAATTTAGACTCAAGTCCAGCCCAGTGTTTTTTGTTTCTTGGCCCTCTTTTGACAGGTGGAGTTCAGCATTGATATCCTTGTTATACCACGGTTCCGGGGACTCGGCCGGGCGAGCATTACATTTCTGTAAATGCGTTTTGAGGTCTCTTTGTTTCACTGTATGTTTGGGATCTAAAGGGCAAGGCACACGGGCGTCTATGTTGTCTTTGTTATCAGTCACTCCTTCAGAAGCCTCAAGTTTCAAATGCTCTGCGCAAAATCGTTGGTTTTTCTTACTTTGCATAGCACAGCGACGATTCTTCTTTTGCAAGAAGTGCTCACATCTGTTTGGCGCCAGCTGCTTCTGCTGTTTCCGCTGACGCTCAATTTTTTGCCTCTTTGGTTGAGACTCCCCTTTTGGAACACTAGATGTCTCCATCCTAATACGTATGCCTCAAGTTCAAGTTATGTGTGTAGACGCGTTGAAACCAAAGGATGTTTATAGAGAGGAACACGACCATGTGTTTAAAGATTTTACGCACCTATCATGAATACTGACCATATTAAGCTTCCAAAAACAGACTTCAAAATTCAGATCTTTACACTTGTCGATTTATGCATAAACAAATGGGTAGAAGAGCCGACCAGGATGGGAAGGGGCCACAGAAAATATCAAATACAAGAAATTGCTGGCTTTGCTTAGACCCATAAGTTTTCACTGCTATCTTAACCAGGCCCGTGAGCCTGCGTCTTTCATGCGGGCCGCGCAAAAAAAATACACGATGCCTCGATGATCATCTCGAGCGTAATTGAGAAAAGCGCATATTCAACACTTCCAAAACACACACAACCAGGCAATATGAAGGAGAAAAGAAACGAATTGTGGAAGCTAGATCTCCTCGAGGCGAAGTACACGCAAGCTACGCCGCGGTTCTCGTTCACCAAAAAATTGATCAATGCAAGAAACAACTCGCACTTAATGAAGAAGCTCCCTGGTACGCCTAACGAAGCCTTCCAACAAATCCATGCTCTCAAAGCTGACTTGTTTCGCAAAAAGTACCATGGGTCCTACAAAAAATTGAGCCGAGACGCTTCGCGGGCAACCAAGCAGAAACAAAAGACTTTGGGCAGCAAAGAAAAACACCTCTCCAAGCTTTTGCAGAGCGCCGAGTTCCACGAGCAACTCATAACCGCGAAGCTTGTCAAAATCGTTCTGTCGGCGATCTTGACCACCAAGGAGACAAGGCTGAATCCGCCAAGCTTTATTCCCGAAGAAATCCGAGAATATATTTCCGATAAAGCACTGGCAAGGAATCCTTCGCGTTTTTTCATCACGTACTGCCAGAACGACAAAGTTGTCAACGAGTACATTTCCAAGTTGTGGAATCTGAAGGAAATGAAAACGCTATGTCTGGAGATTGACTGGAGTTTCCGGAAGATCAGAGGCAATTTGACCAAAAACGAAATTGCGTCTCATTCGAAGGAAACGGGCAAGAAAGTCAAGAATGTCATTGCAAATGAAGACAGTGCCGAGATCAGTGAAAGTGAAGAGAGCGATTCCGAAAGCGGGGGGAGCGATTCTGAAGACGCACAGATTGATGCAGAGGAGGCGTTTGAGAAATTCTCTGCTTTTGACAATATGGTTGCCGGGTCTGACGAGGAGCAGGATTTTGTGGCTGATCCAAATGTCGACTACAACGAGATCACAGACCAGGAGATGTCTGAAAGCGACAACGAGAGAGAAGAAGAGAGAAAGCCCAAAGAGTCAAAAGCCAAGGCTGAAAAGGCCAAGAAGCTCGCGCTTCCCGAGTTGGCTACGGGATATTTCTCAGGAGGCTCTGACGATGAGGATGACGTGGATAACGACAAAGTGGTGAAGGAAGCCACGACAGTCCGCAAGAACAGAAGAGGCCAGCGGGCCAGACAGAAAATCTGGGAGCAGAAGTACGGTACAAAGGCAGTGCACGTGCAGAAGGAAAACCTGAGACTCGCCAGTGAAAGAGAACGCAAGCAGCAAGAGTTTGAAGAAAGACAGCGCAGGAGAGAGCAAAAGGCCATACTTGCACAACAGACGAACACTTCCAAGACTGCCGGTTCTGCCTTGGCTTCTGGACTGGGAGACTCGCTGAAGGTGCATCCATCTTGGGAAGCCAAGAGAATTGCTGAGGAGAAGATGAAGAATGTCAAGTTTGAGGGTAAGAAAATCACGTTCGACTAAACTGATCTTTGGTACTATCTAGATGTTCAACAGGGCATGGTCAACCTTAAATTCCGCGGCGATTTCTTCGTCGGTAATGTTCTTGCACGCTAACGGAGAGCCCATGAGAAATTTGTACTGGCACTTTTCAGGCTCACTGACGGAGATCAATTCATGACGAGGCGCACATATCATGTCAACCTGCGCCGAGCGCTGCGGCCCGTTCCAGCATTTGCTGCCTTTTGCAAAATGCATTGAGTTTCCATGAAGTCCATAGAACCGTCCGATCAAAGTATTATCTTGATATAGGGAATCGAGAAAACCAAGTTTGTAGTTGTACTCGCCAATTTTTTTGTGGACCCATTGGCCCTTGACGGCCCGGTATATATCTCCTTCGCCGTAGTCGGTGTTCAACCCATCTATGTATATGGATTTCTCAGAATTTTTCTGTTGCAATGTCGCCTCTAGCTTCTTAATTTCAGTCGAGAGCTGCTCCGCCTTCTCGCTCGGCGGAGCAGAAACTTTGTTCTCATTAGAGGAGGGCTCCATCAATCCAAGAACCGTGCGAAATCCCATGTAAAGTCTTTGAAACGAATTGAGGGATTCGTGAACCACGTTTTGAAGATTTGTTTCAGAAGAATGACAAATTTGCGGGATTTGATCCAAGCTGAATTCAGAGAGATTCATGCTGGGAACACCTTCATCCTCAGGCTTGTTTGAAACATAGTCAGCAAATGATGACACGGCAAGCTTCACTGCTTGGTCATTGAAATTGGGGTTGTAGTTTTCAAGAAGGTTGTGCAACATGGCCTCTAAGTTCCTGATTTTCTCATTGTTTCGCCTAGCGTATTCTTCAAATTGCAGAAATCGCCCTTTTAGCTTACGCGAGTGCTCCAGAACAAATGTATCAATAGCAGACGTGCCCGCGTCATCCCTTTCATCACCTGCAGATGTATTTTGTTCCAATTCTTCTTTGAAAGCAGCCAAGCGAGTCTCGTCTCGAGAGATTTCAATTTCGAGGGCTTTTGCGTTGTCAACAAGCTGCTGCTTTAACTTATGTGCCTTATGTTCCAATTCCTTTTTAGTCTCTAAAGCCTCTTCTACAGTGGCTTTCTTCACCTTCAAGAAATCATCGAACTGAGTTTTTACTTGATCACACACGTTGGGGCAGGCGCCACTTTTGTACTCGTCAGATCCGTCACAGCAAATATCGTAATCACACACCCCGTCGTTGAGTTTAAAGTTCTCAATATATGCCTCTCTGTAACCCTCATTGGCACAGTAAAAGTATTTCGGCAAGTCTTTCGTGAATTCACAAGCATTAGTCCCTGGCTCATCGGAACCATCCGGACAATCGCAAAAGTCGTCGTTTATTTGCTCGAACAGAAGCTCGATTGTAGGGTCCAGCAAGCAGTGCCATTTGCTCTGCTCATTCGGAGTGTAAAGTGCCTGCTTTTCCGGTGAGACTCCTAAAATATCTGCAAAAGCAACAGGAATAAAGCCTAGAAGAACCTTGTTTGGCAACATAGTGATGCCTGTGCTTAGATAATTATATACGGGATGGGCATAGACTCCAGCTTCGGAGCGATACTTTAACGTGGGGAACATGATCACGTGACCAATAGACTGCAACATTGAGTCGATCCCCCTCGTGTTGGTTTCGGCACTAACAAAAGTATATTACAGAATAAATAACATGTGTTTTGTATCCAGATCCAGTGGGTTGATATCATCGAATGATTTTTGATGGTGATGGTTGAAGCGTTGTCATTCGTGTCATTTTTATCAGAACAAAAGCTAGATAGTGGTCGAGCGAAAATAAATTTTATGGCTCATTGATGAAAAATTTGAAGATACTATACAGCTACACAGACAAAAATTTCTGAAGCTTCTGTCTGTGTGCTTGGCCTAAATTACACCCAGTACTTTGCAAAAGCCCGAGCCTGACGGAATGCGGTCATCACACATTGACGCGACAGCATAACATCAATCAATATCGAAATAAATAGAGAGACCAAATTAATCAGTAAAGTCAATGTATGTGGAACGCCGTAACATCGACAAGATCTCTGTTTTGAAGTATGATTCAATCCTAACTATTTCCCAGCTTTTTTAGACCTGTACACAAGGGCGTCGTTATCATGAAAGATGAACAAATTCGCGGTCCTAAGGGCGAATTTAAAGCAGACTCACTAACTTCGAACATGGCCGCTTAGACATGCCGAAGAACAGCGAGCCGCATCCTCTCTCTAGTGCCAAGTGCAAACGCCTAGTGCGGCCTCTTCTTTCAAAAATACACTCGCTAACAGACCTCTATTCCAAGTATCCAGCCAAGTTCGTATTTGACTGTGAACTTTTTATCAGTGGCAGTAGTGAAGATGCACATTTCACTAAACCTGCAACGGCAGAGCAACGACTAGTTTCACTCAAGCCCTTTCTTTCACTCGAAACCTATGATGCGTATGTGGAGATATTCAATATCTTCAAAAATATTGTCTCGACTCTATATCCTGACAATGCCAGTGGCGGGCGCTCCAGGCGACGGGAGAACGGCAAGTCTAGCGGAAAAGAGAATGGAGACAGGCATCCAGAGACAACCAAAAATGGCGTGCCCCGTCTATCTTTTCTAGCAGCACATAAATTGGGCAAATCAATAGCCTTGGGCACGAAGTCCACCCACTATTCGCTCAACCAAACTGCGCTTTTCGACCCGGCGTCCATACCGCTATATTTGAGAAAGTATCATGACCAGCTCGCAGAGGATATCGACGAGTGGTTGTTGATGGAACCAGGCTCAGTATTGGGCCAGCACCGCTCACAACTTCTCCTCGGATACGTGATGCATATTCTCGTTTTTAATCTGCGTGTGCTTTTCTACACTCTCATCCCCGTACTCTGTCACTGGCTCCATGAGCAAAAAATGCAGTGCCTGCGGACGCTCTTCGTAGAATTCTGGCTTTTCCTGTATTTGGATCCAGATCACGAAGAAGTGCAAGATCTAACAGTGCCCGATAAGTCACGGGACCCGAGCCTTGCAACTTTCTGGCTCTTTCACAAAATCGGATACTGGCAGCAAATGGTGCGTCTTCTTCACATCAAGTCACTGGTGTATTCTTCAGCTGAAGCTTACAGCGCGCTACTTTTAGAGGCCCTAATCTGTTCCGATAGATTGGATCTTGCCCACGTCGACGTACATGAGGTGTATGCACTAATGAGGACCAATCTACAGCACCCGAAAAACACGCAAATTCTTGTTGCAACCATAGCGCAGTTGATCACATCATTTCAAAAGAACTATGATGTTGTCTCGACGTCTTCAGAGGCACATGCTGCAATATTTAGTGCTTACCTTGAAATCCGGAATTTCTTGCAAGCATGGGTGTGTCTCAGCAAAACCCTAATTTTCAATACGTTGGATAAGGGAAACACCGAGATATTTGACGCCTGTTCAAAGTTTGCCGATCACCTAAAGGAAATCTGCACTTTGATCATTGCATATTTAGAAAGCAGGAGCCGTGGAGGCTCTCGTAGTATTGAGAGGGTACGCAAGTTCAAGAAGCTCCTCTCCGAGATTGGAGACTTAAGCGGCACTTGCGAAGTCTTAAGAGCCTTCTTCTTGGACATAAGACTTCAGTCAAGCGAAATCAATGCGTCTCCGACTTTGGTACAATACTTAGCCTCGTTCACTGCGGAGGAATACGACCGTGAAACACTCGAGGTCTTCATGGGGTGGTTTGAAGAGCAAGACCAGACGAAGTACGGAGATTTCATATCGCTTTTGCAAAGTCACATTTCCGCGTTTGAACATTAGGATATGACTTCCTCCTGCCGCATCATTTAGCATTTTAGCATTCAAAGCATTCTTCGCCTCAATTCAAAGAGCGAAATCCGTTTCCATCAGCGACAACAAATTTGCCATTCATTTCGTCGTCAGTTATTACCTTTTCACACGCTTCGATGACTTCTTGTAGCGACACTGTAGGAAGCTGTGGGGACCCTGACTTGCCCATTTCTGTTTCTGGAACTAGCGCTGGCAATACTGCATTGACCCTGATTTTCCCATTGAGTTCTGCAGCGAGCGATTCAGTGAATCCTAAAAGCCCAGCCTTCAGCGCAGCATAAGGTGACGTTCCTGGAACTGTAACTCCGCTTATGGATAGCATTGACAGTATATTTAGGATGCTCGGAACAACGCCGGTTTTCTTTTGCTGTCTGAGGAATGGCATGACTGCGCTCTTGGATAAGAGAATGGGCGCCAAAAGATTCAAATTGATTGTGGTGGCAATAGCCTCAGGGCTTAGTCTGGTAAGCACATTATGATTAGTAACTCCAGCACAGTTCACTAAAAGAGAGGCATCGGTAAAAAGGGGTTTGAGCATGTTTTCAGGGTGGTGTAGGCCTAATTGCTCAAGATCAACTACATTGTACAGATGGTGCTGGCCGCCAGACCTCAGAAGCAAGTCTAAGTTTTTCGCTAGTCTATGTTCAGTTCTGGCCACCATAGTAACACTATACCCCAAGTGAGAAAGCCGTTGGCAAAGCGCGAACCCAATTCCGCTAGATGCACCAGTAACTATGGCTCGCCTTCCAGTGTACATGGCTCGATACAAATGGAGAATTGAGTTTTTACAGCGAGAGCGTGCCCGGTGACATTGGTCGCGTTGTATACTCTGGGGTATGCCGTGTGCACAACAAATTGTTTTATGAGATTCGTCTGACAAGGTAACTTTTTTTTTTTTTGGTAGATTCATCTGATAGAAGGAGCAAGAATATAAAAATAGTATATATGAAAAAACCTTTAAACAGCTTCCAGCTACGTGCAAGTGTCGAAACTTGGCCCGTCTCCTTCCGTCATTCACGGCCTGGACATCCTCTTGGCCCGTATCTGTTTACAAATTGGATATTACGTCATCGATTCTTAGGATGAGTCTCCTGTAGTAGTCGCTTCAAGTCAGACGGCTTAAGCAGCTTACTTCCTGCGACTCGCTACGCCTTTCGAGCGTATACCTCAAAGTCGTGATAATGAACCAGTTCAACTCTATTGAGTTCTCCAAAGAGTTGTCGAGCGGAGCCAACATTTCATTCAAGCCCATGAATCTGGCGAAGCTTAGCTCTTGCTACAGTATTTGGATGTTTCACAGTTGTTGGAGAGATGGCTAAGGAAAGCGTCCGTAGCGTCTCCTTTGTTGTGGATTTGGTGTGTGCAACGATGACACTGCAAAGCCGAAAGTTCTCTGCAGATAGAAATTAGGGAACGCTTTCAACTTTGGTTTCCAAAGAAACATGTATTGAAGAATACCGCTGCCCGATGACAGGGGCTAAAACTATATACTATAGAAAACCTCAACACACTCACAGATGTGTACAAAGCACCCATTTTCTTTCTTTCCTTTTCTTTTTTGGTGATGAGGGAAGGTCCCTGATTGTATGAAGGGCTCTACTGAGGATTGATTTAGTAAAAAATTGAATTTCATGAATAGATCAAGTTCACAAACGATATAAAAATGCTGTATATGCAAACATTGTATTTTGATATATAGACAAGGCTTGTCCTCATGCAACAACGACTCCGTGGCCAAGCTGGTTAAGGCGTAAGACTGTTAATCTTGAGATCGTGAGTTCGATCCTCACCGGGGTCGTTCACTTGCCTTTATGGCCAAGTTGGTAAGGCACCTCACTAGTAATGAGGAGATCGTCAGTTCGAATCTGGCTGAAGGCATCTTTTTTGCATGCACTTTTTTTGTTAGTTCTCGAAGATTCAAAGCCAAGGCCTGATACTCATAATTTCTCAAAGTGGTAAGAGGAACTTTCCAAAAGTTTATTTTTATTAGTGTAACATTTTTTTCCTTTGATCAAATGAATCTACCAAGAGGAAGAAGTAGAAAAGCCATTCTGATAGACGATTCATAGGTAGATGAGGAGAGTATTTAAACCCCGTATCTTCTGCTAAAATGACATAAGAGTGTCTGAATTGGATTTATCGCAAATTGTTTGTGAATTATAAACATCTTTTACAAAGATCTCCTGGTAAAACAGACAGCTTTTGGGATCGATGACGTAAGATTTGATGCGTGAACAAGTGCGTGCCAGGAGGCGGGCTTGTTTTTGTTGAATTCAACTACTCTCTTACAGTATACTTCAAGATGTCATTATCTTGGATTACAGATGTGCCTAAAAAGGCCAAAACGCTTGATTGTATCAGGCAAAACATATCCTATATCTCCACAGTTCTTGGCTGTGCGTGTGGACGAGCATTTGCTGATTTTGTGACGACCGGAAGCATGGTAGTCCAAAAAGTCTTGTGTGATTTAAGAAGAAGTTGTCCGTTTTCTGTTTTGTTTTGCAATGCTTAGCGGATTGGCATATACTCATATTTGCATGATGGTTCCATGTGTATCATTCTATATGACCAGTTTGAACGTGAAACTGTTACCTTATAAAAATGTATAGGGTTACAAACATCCTCCTCACACAAAAATTTAGAATCATTTGTCAGCCAATAAATTTTGAAACTTGCAAAGCCAAGATTCGGAAGATTTAAAGGAAAAGAGACGGGTTCATATTCGCATTTAAGATACTTGATGAAGTATGTACATGACTCGGAAGTGGATGATCATGCGAAAGTAGCCAAACCCTTTCAAGATGCTAGGTGTAAAGCTCAATTACTCAAATATTCAATTTCCATGAAGTTAGACAACGACTTCTAATTTTATCTAATGTTTTGCATTTGATTTATTTGGTGATCTTCCCAAGGGGCTTCTTGTTTGAATGGACAATCTACTTGGCTGGAAGTAGTGGCAAGTGATCCAGATGAATCACACTACTCAGCTTCCGGGTTGTATTGCTTTCTTGCAATAGGCGTGCAGTGTCAGATGCTTCTCTTATACAACCAAGGAATTCGCCCTAGAAGCAATGTACCTCACAAAAACAAAACAAAAACTTCTTTCATGCTAGAAATGCATCGTTAAATCCCAGAGCTGGAGAATTAGCTTCGGAAGGAATGCCAGACAGAAAAGTATGACCATTTTCTTATACATCATAAGTGCACCAGCTGCTGTTCTACAAGATAAGGGCCTTGGTTCTGGGCCAGAACCAAGGAAAATAGAGACTTGAATACACGAAACTCTTCGCCTCAAACTACAGCCACCGAAGATAGACAACTCGTTGCCAGGCTCTACAAGGCAGAGAGTCCCGCGTCCTTCATGGCACTGTTGGCACGAGCAGAACTATTTGTGCAAGCCCGGTACTTTCATTCTGTGTATTGATCTATGTTACATTGCTACTCGCCGCTGATGAGCGCGGAGAGACCCATGAACCCTAACATGGTGTACTTGAAGTACATGTTCTCCGTGAGAAGAATCGTGATATATCCAAGCTTAGGGAAGTAGCCCTTGACCGTGCCCACAAGATCGGTTCTTTGGTTGAGATAGGACTGCTTCTTGTGGTAAAGCAGGAGGTCGTCCTGGGCGTTGTTGTCGCCCTTTGTGAGCAATAGCTGGTCTCCGTCAGACCGGTGCTCCCTCATCACACGGTGGACTATGGGGATCGACTTGCCCTTGACTTCATAAACTACAACATCCCCTACACTCGCGCGTGTGTCCCTGTTCCACAAAAACAAGATGTCGCCTCTCTGAAAGGCCGGTTCCATAGACCCGGACAACACCACCACGATGGGCGAGTGCGAATTGGCCACCACCCCGAGAGTCTTCCACATGATGAACGCAGAAGTGAAAACATAGGCCAAACTAAGGAACTGGGTCAATTGTTGGCGGATATTCATTTTGGCCGGTGTGAATTTCGCTGGGGTCTGATTCCTGATAGCACGGCCTATTTTCATGCTACGTGTCTGCAGTGCCGGGCCGCGTGAGCTCTATTAGGCAAGTCGGGAACATAGACATGGGGTTATTTGGAGACGAAGACAAAACAATGCGTTTCCAACAGAACCGCCTTTTCTGAAGCGGATTTGTTGCTGGCCATTGCGTTGGGTGGTGTGGTTTGGGGTGGATGGAATTGTGATTTTTGGGCGCCTTTACCATTAGGATGTCATGTGATCTGGCTAGGTGAAGATGAAAGAGAGATGACTGCAAGGGCCTGAGAAAAGAAGAGCCAATTGCTTGAGTGGACCATCAGAGAAGTCCTGTTTGAATAATTTAACTTTATTGTTTTGTTTTGAGTTTTGCTCTAGATAATGGCCCAATGCTCGCCTCTAATGGATGTGAATGGTGGGAGCACATCTGGATGCAACAAGCCAGCGAAGAGTAGACGAAGCAAAAGAATAAACAGAGCAACATCATAAGAAAAGAGCCAGACAGAAAAAAGAAGGAAAACCAAGAAAAAAAAAGACAATAGAAATAAAAAGAACCAAGGACAGAATCAGAACTCAAGATCATCAATTAAACTAGCGAGACTGCATTTACTCAAGCAAACCATCCTAGTTCTTTTCCTTTTGAAGCGGGATATGAGCTTTATCAGCATGGGCTATAGGATTTTGACCTTTGGTTGAATATTTTACCACAATGATTCTGAGTACAATTCATGACATCGGATCAGCGTAAGCCATCAGTAGTTTGTATCTACAACAGCCCAAGCCGTATGCAGTGCACACATATTACGTTTTCAAGAGTTATGGCTCATGAGGCGTCACGTTTCCCATCGTAGCTGATGCTAACCAAAAAAATTCAAGAATCAAGCCTACTCACTCAGCTATAATGTAACATTCAGGTGCTTTGGCATATATTCAGCATCAGCTTTATTGTGTTGATCTGCTATGTACCGGCAGCTGGTGTCACAATTCCATGCGTTTTGTCAAGCCCGCGTACTGAAAGAATGAGCCACTTTGTTCTATCTGATAGAAAATTTTGTACAATAGTTCCGCGTACTTCCGAATGTTTTTCCCTTGACCCACGAACAAAGCGAAATAATGATCTTCTATAAATCGTTCTTTTGTGCCTGAGTTTGAAACTAATATTCGCGCCCAAAGAATTTTGAGCTTCCGCCGGATGAAGAAAACACCTTTTTGACATGGCAACGAAAATCAGCCGATTCAAGTTCATTCAAATCTTTTATCCTGTCATTTATTTACCGGGCAAGGTGAGGAAATTAGTTTTGGAAGAATCAAATTATTCCAGCAGGTATGTGGATACGGCTATAGATGAATGTACCTCAGAACGAATCTTCCCAGAATTCAAATCAAGAATCCCAGAATTTAAAAAAAAAAAAATAAATTAACTAGACCTCACCAATTGAAGATTTAGCCCACTCCTGAATTCCAGAAACAAGAAGTCGTGGGGCCATCAAGACAAAAGAGCTGTGTTTCAGAAGATGTTGCACCGTGCCCCCATCAATAGACCCGAGTGCGGCGCTGGGCCAAGCCCACCAGAAACCAGATCCTGCCTGGAAACAGGGCCCAAAACAACAGCACCAAAAAACCAAAAAAGATCCAAACAGATCCTAAAACATCCCGAGCCAAAACATCCATAGCCAAAAACATCCCGAGCCAAAAAAGAAAAAGAATAAGCAAGACATGAAGCCTGATGCCCGAAACACCAGATAAACCCCAGTGCCCATCAATCATAAAAAAATAAAAAAAGGATTAGAAAAGCGTATGGTGTATAATATCTTAAGGCGGGCATGTCATCAAATGAATATTTTAAAACATTTATGAAATCTACTGCTATATCTAAATATATAACATATTTTGTTAACTATGTATCTATGTATCTATGTATCTATGTATCTATGTATCTATGTATCTATGTATCTATGTATCTATGTATCTATGTATCTATGTATCTATGTATCTATGTATCTATGTATCTATGTATCTATGTATCTATGTATCTATGTATCTATGTATCTATATTTTCTAAAATACACCTTAGTACAATAGCCCCTTCTAATCTCAGTTAAGCTAAAGCTCTTGTTCTTAGAGCTCAATACGCCGCTTATATCTAAACCAAAGAGCTTTCAACATTCGAGTCCGCGACCGGCCCTTTCACATAGTTCACACTATCTCCGGCCCTGGCCGCGAGACCGCCTTCCAGATCGGGCATTTCAAAACAGACGCGGCACTGCACCTGGCAGCCTCCGCCTCTTCACAACAACAAACACGGATCTGTCAGTGTCTTCAACACGAGAAAACAGGCAGCAACAGACATCCACCGCGGGCCCCTCCGTCCTTGCTCACACTGCCTGTTTGCAACACTTCTTTTTTTTTTCTTTGCAAGTTTGCGCCGAGGCCGTTTCCGTTCTTTTCCGCTCCTTTTCCCGCCGTGCCCCACGCCTGCCACTGGGCCCATATATTCAGGCTCCATCAATCCTGGGCCCTCTCTTTCACAGAGCCTCTCTTTCACAGAGCCTCTCATTCACAGAGCCCATCCATAGAGCCCATCCATAGAGCCCATCCATAGAGCCCATAGCCCCTTCCATAGCCCCTTCCAGAGCCCCTTCCTCAGATCCCGTCATTTGCAGAGCCCAGGCCCTTACATCCCGAGGCCTGATCTTTACGGGTTCTGTTATTCCGGCCCCATATCAGCACGTGTTCTCGGTGCCCCGTCTCCCCCGGAGCCTGAAATAGCCAGCACCAGGCACGAAACACACCAGGCACGAAACACACCTGGCCTGAAACACACCAGTGCCCCAAACCTTCAGTGCTCCTCGCTGCCACAAAAAAAAAGCACCTCCCTGTCCTCCCCGCCTCCACGCCCAACAAATGGGTGCCTTTGACCACGAGTCGTCCATCTCAGGCGACGTCTATGTGCAGCGGTTGGCCTCGTACATCCGCCGCAACGAGGAGGCTCTTGCCAACGGCCTCCTCTGCTTCCTGAAGGAGCGCACGCGGGCCTCGGTCAAGCCGCTCCGCCCCAGCTTCTCCACACACCACCTCTACTACATCACGGAGCGCATCGCGTCGCTGCCGCTAGAAGTGGACGTGGGCCCGCTCAACGTCAAGCTCGACAGCCCGCACCACGAGCACACGTTCATCCTGTTCATGGCCAACAACGCGCGGTCGCAGCGCACGTTCGAGAGCGACGCGCGGTCCGTGTCGTCCATCAGCTCCATGAAGACCATCGTTTCCAGTGCGCTGGTCTACTGGATGTCGTTCTCTTTCAGCAAGGACCCGCGCGTGATCCAGAAGGACGTCAAGTACTTGTACCTGTCGTTCACCAAGATCCCGTGCTTGATCTTGAGCCCGCACACCAAGATCAACAGCGTGGCGGGCTACGAGGAGTACCCCTGCGACACGCTGGTGCCGCTCCAGATGTTCAAGAACCTCCAGGTGCTCGAGTTGGTCGACTACGAGCCCAACGAGGTCTACGGCTGGCACACGCTCAGCGAGCACTTGCGCATCCTCATTGTGCGCAACTCCAAGATGGCCTCGCTCGCCGACGTGCTCCACACCTTGGTCTCCGACGATGAGCATGGCCGCCTGTCCTTCAGCATGCGGCGCCAGGCCCGAAGAGGCGACGAGCCGCCCGACCCCGCTGCGGCGGCCCCGTTCGCCGCGCCGCTCCGCAAACGAGCCATGACCGCCACCTCCGTCTTCCCGGGCGCGGGCCGACAAGTGCCGCGCCTCGACAACAGGCTGGCGCTGGCTCTCGACAACACACTGCATATGCTGCATATGCTGCCGGGGCTGCTGGGCCGGCCCGCGTCCGCCGACCCCGCGCCGTTGCCGGCCAGCAAGTGGCTCCACATGAAGCAGCTCACCGTCACCGAGAGCTCCATCACGCAGATCCCGGCTTACGTGTTCCGCCCGCTCTCCAACCTCGTCAAGCTCAACTTGGCCAAGAACTTGCTAGAGGACCTCCCGGGTGGGCTTGAGCACCTCCCGCACTTGAAGTACTTGAACCTCGCCGACAACTACATCACGTCGCTCGAGAGGCTACCCCACAACTTGGCCCAGCTCGTCACCGTGAACTTGAACAACAACAAGATCACGCACCTTGCCGGCGTGGAAGGCTTGCCCGCGCTCGAGAAAATCGACTTGCGCCGCAACATGTTGCGCGACTTGCTGCTGGTGCTTCCTCTCGTGAGACAGGCGGCCAAGCCCGACTCCAGACTCAACAATGTCTTTGTGTCCAACAACAACTTGCATCGCACCTACCGCGCAGACCTCTTCAATTTGTTCAACGCGGCGAGGCCGAAAAACTCCATCAAAATAGACGACTCCAGACCCGGGTACTTCGAGAGGGCCATGCTTCTCGACCCAGACTCGGCACGACGCTTTTTCGACAAGGTCATGGGTCTGGAAGACAAGCTTGTCTCGACTTTTGCCGACAAATCCAGCGAGCTGCACCCGGCAGCACCGGTGCTGCCTACCTCGTCAAGGACTCTACAGCGGAAAAACCATCTCAATCTTCAGCTCGCAAATGATGCAAACGAGTCTAAGAAATCTTCACACAAGCATAGCAAATCGGCGGGCGACGTATTGGAATCGATTGCGCTGCTCAACATCCAGGACCTCGAGAACACATTTGCCAACAGGAAGCACGCCAGTGTTATGACCACAGCGTCCTCCACATCCAGTACAACGTCTCCGGCAGCACCGGGGCTGATGCCAGGGGACAGCGGCCCCGGAAGCCCGTCCGCGCGGCAGTTTTCCAAGACGATCAAGCCCCTTCTCCCAAATGCCAATTTGTGCAACCAGCTGCACTACCTGACACCTAAAATGCCACCCATGGCACGGCAGTTGCTGTCTCCAATGATACACGCGCATCTCAATGGCCTGGCATCCACACTCAAGAGCTCCAGCACGATGGCTCGGATTGATATCGATTCAGCCCCACTAACAAACTTGGCCCCTAATGTCATCACGCCTGTGCAGGTACAAGTGGAGGGGTTCCATTAGTACTGAAAGGCCTTGCATTCAAATCCATAACCAGTGGATTCACACGAGGGAAGCCCAGGGGAGAAACTGTCAAACTACGATATTGTTAGCTTCAAAGTGAGATTTTGCAATATCCCGGTGATTATGAGATGTAGCTTTACTAAAACTCGTTTGACGAAGATCCACTCAACCGAAACAGTCATTTATAAGAACCCACAATCGTCGTTTGCAGAACTCTGTTGAACAGAAACTGAACAAAAGTGGGCGACTAATCGAAGATCTATACAAGCTTTAAGTGGGAGTGCAGCGTCGGTGAAAAGAAGAAGCTCGCATATTTCGCAAATCCATGAACCCAGGCCCGCTATCCGACTTGTTTTCTGGCGAGCGAGGCCCTCAACAGCTTTGCGAATGCGGGTGCGTTTGTGGCGCCGCAAAACGCACAGAGAGAGTCAGGCCCGAAAAACTTTGGTGTCTTTACCTTCTTTCACCTCATTTATCTTTTTTTTTCCTCAGCTCTACTTTTGGTACACATGATGAAGCCATTGATAATCCCACTAGTGTTTATCACGGGGCTGTTCCAGTTGGCTCTGCTGTTGGAGCACGGTGAAATTCTCAGCCATATAGGCTATACTGCAAATGAAACGCTCCATGAGTTGAGCAAGAGAGGACTCCACGAAGACAACCCATTCTTATACCAGGCGGAAACCCACATCCTGGAGTACTATACGCTGCCTCCACACTACCCCAGCCGTATGTAACCATACAGTTTTTGATTCCCCACGATTGGAAATTTTGCAAGTTATTTCCAAGCCGACTTTGGATATTTGTTTGTTTTCGCAATCGTTACAGGTTTATAACAATGGGGAAAACTTTCTACCTCATCGGAATACTAACTTAATTCAGCCTTATGCGGCCGTATCGAGACTGCCTGGCTGAAGGCGTTTCAGAAGACCCGCAAAATCGTCGAGAAAATGTCCATTCCTGAGAAGGTCAATCTTACCACAGGAACTGGCTGGGGCTCTGGCCCATGTGTGGGAAATACAGGTTCCGTACCTCGGCTCGGCATCCCTAGTCTCTGTTTACAGGACGGGCCCAACGGCGTGCGGTTCACAGATTTTGTCACCCACTTCCCCTCTGGGCTTGCCACGGGAAGTACATTCAACAAGGAGCTTATGAAGCTCAAGGGCCGAGCCGAGGGCCGCGAGTTCAAAGACAAAAATGTACATATTGCGCTCTCGCCTACCATCGGGCCTATCGGGCTCAAAGCTCAGGGCGGTCGCAACTGGGAAAGTTTTGGCGCAGACCCTTATTTACAAGGTGTAGCGGGCGCACTTCAGATTGCAGGAATACAAATGGAAGGCGTTGTGGCTGTCGCTAGACACTTTGTGGCCAACGAGCAGGAGCACTTCCGGCAAGTCGGCGAGTGGGACAGTAATGGCTGGGAGAGATTGCAGTCGTCCATCAGCTCCAACATTGGCGACCGCACTATGCACGAGGTGTATCTCTGGCCGTTCGCCGATGCCGTTCACGCAGGTGTGGGTGGTATTCTCTGCTCGTACAATCAGGTCAACAACACACATGCGTGTGAGAACTCATACTTGATCAACTATTTGTTGAAGGAGGAATTGGGGTTTCAAGGCTTTGTGGTCTCAGACTGGGGGGCGCAGCATACGGGCGTTGACTCTGCGCTCGCAGGGCTTGACATGTCGATGCCAGGTGAGATCTTCGACGAGTGGTTGAGTGGACGCTCATTTTGGGGGGCGTCTTTGACGCGTGCCATCTACAACGAAACTATCCCACAGGAGCGGCTAAACGACATGGTAACCCGGATTTTGGTCCCATTTTTTTCCGCCAAAAGTCTTAGCTTGCCATCCGAAGAAGACATCCCAAATTTCAGCTCGTGGACGGCACACACCTACGGTCAACAATACCCGTATCAGCACTACGGACCTATCTCTCAGCAGAACTGGCACATTGACGCGCGGTCGGAGTTCTCCGACAAGGTTGCGCAGGAGGTGGCCCGCGAGGCGCTCGTGTTGCTAAAGAACAGCGGACACCACTTGCCCATCGACAAGGGGAACGGGGTTCGCAGATTGCTTATTGCCGGGTCCGCACAAAACACAGACAAGCGGGGCGTTAATTGCAAAGACCAGAGATGCACGGATGGAATCATGACGTCTGGCTGGGGCTCCGCCGCAGTCAGCAATCCGGTAGTGGTGACGCCGTTCCAGGCCATCCAGGAGCGGGCCATCGCCCGAGGGATCACGGTCGACTACAACACCGACAACTGGAACCTCCCGCAGGCCGAAGAACAGGCTGACTATGCAGACATGGCCGTTGTAATTGTCAGTGCGTACTCAGGTGAAGGGTACATTGAGGTGGACGGCAACTACGGTGATCGCAAAAATGTAAGCTTATGGAACAACGGCGACAAGCTCATCCAGCACGTGGCGGACCGGTGCCGCAAAACTGTGGTGGTGGTCACCGCTACAGGACCTGTGGATATGGAGCAGTGGATTGAACACGAGAACGTGGTAGCAGTGTTGTTTGCGGCGCCATTGGGCCAGTACGCGGGTGAAGCCATGGGGGAAGTTTTATTTGGCGAGGTCAACCCATCCGGCCGACTCCCCTTCACTATAGCCAAGAAACCCCTGCACTACGTGCCCATTCTTGAAAATCTCAATGAGGGCCCTGAGCCGCAGGACATCTTTGACCGTGGTATTTACTTGGATTACCGGTTTTTTGACAAGCATTCAATGAAGCCCCGGTTCCCGTTCGGGTACGGGTTGTCGTACACGAAGTTCCTGGTATTTGATCTTAAGATCAAGGAACTCAATTCGCCCACCGAGTATCTCATTTCTCCGGCCGACTATTCGCCCGTGTCTCCCACCATAGAAGACGATGTGTGTGATCCGGAGGACGCACTTTTTCCCTACGATGAGTTTGATACCATCCCGGGACATATCTACCCATACCTATATGATGAAAACGTACGCATGATCGAGGAGGACGAGAGCTTCGAATATCCAAAGGGGTACTCGCCCACGCACCCGTCAAAGCCACCGTTGGCCGGCGGGGGACTTGGAGGCAACCTGGCACTATGGGAAGAAATCTACGAGGTCACGGTTCTGGTGTCGAATGAAGGCCTCACGGCTGGGGCCTACGTGTCGCAGTTGTACGTGGAAGTACCTTCGACGATTGCCGCGTCGCCGCCTAAAGCGCTTCGGGGCTTCGAGAAGATCTTCTTGAACCCAAAGCTGTCAGCTGTGGTCACTTTCAAACTTCTTCATCGAGACTTGAGTATCTGGGACACACAAAGCCAGCAATGGATCATTCAGACAGGAACATACAAGATCTACATCTCCAGCTCCAGTCGAAAAGTTGAGCTTGTTGGTGAAATCGAGATCGGAAGTTAAAGGAGACGGCCACGCAGGTAAATCATGAGAAGTAAAGATAAAGGGAAGAGCACACGAAGAAGAAAAGGGAGATAATCATAGCTGGGTGAGGAGAGATGAATATCAGTTGCCGCTCCGTTTATCAGGTGCCTTCAGCCGCGCGGTGCCGGGCCGGGGCGATGGCCCGACGCGTGTTCGTTTGTGCGCGCCTTTTTGAAGAAAGCCGAAACTTGCAAGCCGCAGCTCCCAGGCCCTAGTTCGGGCTCTTACGCTGCTTCTTGACCTTTCCCCTTTCTGTAACATTCTTCCTATATCTCCCACTAAATATAAATCGCATCTAACCATGGCTGCCAAGGTGTCGCTAGCAGAAAAGTATGCCCTCCGCCAATCGCAGACTAGTCATACTGCGAGACTGGACCTGGTTTCGCAAAATAGCATACGGTCAGACTCAATCCTGGACCAGACTTCCAGACCCAGAGCCCCCCGTACACTGTTGGCAGAAAAATATGAGCTGCAGGCCCATTCAAAAAACACCATTTCCTCAGTGCCTGGCGCATTTGGGCTGCCCATCAAAAACTTGCTGGGATCTCCCCTGGTCGCTAGCGAAATTGCACCTCTGTTGTACAAAAGCTCAAGTTTACCAAGGATTTTCACGCCAAAGCGCTTGTTTTCTAAAGGAAGCTCGCCTAGTTATAAAGTGAGCAAAAGCCACACCACTGGTGCCCGCGTGGGCCAGCTCGCACGTCGAATCACTGGATTTCTAGCCTCATTTGGCTCTGCGAAAGCCGCAAAGAAATCTACTCCGGACAATTCGGAATTGACTCGGGAGCCTTCGGCATTGGGGCGCTCTATGGCTGATTTGATTGACCACCCAAGTTTGCACCTGTCTTTGCCGACGCACTTGGCAAAACCACCATTGTTGTCTTCCAGGACCGACGATATCGACGAGGTCGATTTGGCTATACGCGAAAACAAACATAAGCAGGAAAAGCAGAAGCTTCAGTGGCAACTTGAGCTTAAGCTGCAGTTGGCCCGTGAGATCAAAGATGACTATGAGCGGAGACTCTATCTCCAAAAGAGAGATTTCGAGGCCCAGATTCACGCGCTCAAAGAAGAATCCGCCCTTTTGAAAGCATCAAGTCAGTCAGCCGAGCCTGAGAAAAAACAGGCAGAGTTTTCTAGCCAATACGGGTCTTTGGTTGAGAAACAGAATCGCTTGGAAGCGGAGCTCGAGGAGCGCAGCAAGCGGCTTGCTGAAAAGGAAGCGTTGTTAAGCGTTCGTGAAAGCGAGTTTGACACACGACAGGAGGAGCTGGCTGACAGCCTCAAACGGAGCATTGACCTGGAAAAGCCGGCGCAACATTTCATGGCGTACAGAGATTTTACAGGCAGCGAAGATATTTTCTCTGGCGATTGCGATTGGCTCAAACCAAGGAAGTCCGTTTCGGACAAGAACGGAGAACCAGAAGCAGATTCGCCATTCAATGCATTCAGACTGAGAAGCACCGCCAACGAGGACATCGCTTCATTGTGCGACGACATACAAAACGCAATACAGGTGTTAGGCGAGTCTACCATATTGCCCGAGCGCGAGAAGGCGAAGAAGTTGCGGAAACTCCGGTATTCTGTGGCGGAGTTGCAGGACGAGTCAATTCTCCAAAAATCCACCAAAATCGCCAAGCTCTCGCATATCAAAGAGTTCTTTGGCGACTTTGAAGAGTGCCGAGCCGCCGACCCACAACAGGCAAAAATACTCTACAGCGCGGCAAGACTAGAAGGAATCCAAGTGTCGCTTGAAATTACTCGAGAGTTTTATGAAGGGAAGGAGCAAGCAAAATCGCGCCAGGCGAAAAGAGCCATGCGCCTGCTCAAAGCCTTGGGTCCACTCCAGGACTTGCTGACGCATGAAGAGATTAACAAGTACGTTGATGCACTCACGCTGTACGCTGTGGCTCTTTTGCGTAAGCGTGAACTCAAACTATCACACCGTGAAATCAACAGAGCCATGAGAGCTGCAGAGACAATCAGTCAAATATTGAAGGTGGACTCAGAAAATAGCACTGGAGAATGTGGGTGACGAATCCACAGAAAAGGGGTATATTGGGGACACCATGAACCTGAGGATCAGGACCAGGGTTATTCAACCGATTATTTACCCTGGATTGTCGGTAAGCAGTACATTGAGCAGGTCTGAAGTATTGTTGAGTGTCCACAATCCGGGATTTTTCCTAACTAGCGCTTTTTGTTCAGGCCTTGTGCTTGGACGCCGCTAGCCTAGACGACAGTTCAAATCTATTCAATTCGCTAATATATCAGTATGTTACTTTATTCTGACTCGGTGAAAAAGGCTGAGAAACATCAGTATTGGTTCTATTTCGGAACAAGAAGTGCTGGAAGCGGGCTTCCGAAAGGGTCTTTAAATAAGCACAAAGTCAAGACAAGCACCGCAATGAAAAGCACTGCAGTAATGACGGGAGCGTGTAGACCTATCGTGAGACAGGGTTCATAGTTCCGGACGAAGGCCTTGACGTGGTATCATGACACCAGATTTAGCAACAGAAACAAGATATATTTGCCCCCATAAGACCTTTTTTGCAATGAGTCTGTTGCGTGTATTTTGAATGATTTGAAACATGAGCTAGCAGCTTTGCTCGGCCTGTGGGTTGTAGGTGTAGATCTACCCAGACTTGGGCATGTAAATATTGTACGATTGTAAAACGCGCTGCGGGTACAGTTTGTTGCTCAAGAACTGCTGGGTATGCTGAAATCCCTCTTAAAGCTTGTGACTAGGCCAATTGAATAGTTCTTCAATCCATGGACCACGTTTCGTGTGTGGGGTAGATTTTTGTGCTGAAAAGGTACGATGGAACTGAAACAAGCGACTGAAACGAGAATTTATTCGATGGCTCTCTGTAGGATGGGCCAGAGGTCGCTCAATAAAAGGTCACTCGAGTTGTACTGCAGTGTGATGAGAAATGTTTGGTAACGGAATGGCTTCATATATGGCAACACTAGAATGATGGAATAAACTATTCTATGGGCAGATGATATGGGAAGAATGAGGAGTACAGGAAAGTTAAAAGCAAGAAACACTTCAATAAAAACCCAGGCTTATCAAAGACACAACGTGTGCTTCTCGAAAATCCGAGAATTACCCTGTTGGTAGCTCGTAGAACACTTAGGACCACACTTCTTCTATTGGTGATTTTGATGGCGACACCACGGACGAGTTCAAGCGTTAACCGAGGCCTATTCAGAATGCATACGCTGGCTCAACGTCTCTTGCCATCCCCGGTGGATGCAACTTCGAGGAGATGCCACGACTCGGACATACGGTAAATTTAGGATCAGCAGGAAAATGAAACACGCGATTCGGCCAATCATCTGCGGCCACATTCACATTAGCATATATAGGTAGAAGTTTTCCGGAGAATTGAGCGGTTCTCCTGGGAAGTGCTTTGATTGTCTATGAAAGGAAGAAGGCTTCTACCAGGCTATTTTGGCTGAGGCATGTTTGTTGCCTGAATTGAAGGGCTAGAACAATGATTAGGAGTCGTCTGCCATGGCCGAACAGCCCGGTAGGCACGTAAAAAACAGTCATTTTCTTGAACGATGTGGGAAGACAGAGACTAAGGATTTGTCAGGGCCAGGTTACGCTCGTGATTGGAGCGTCCACGAAAGCCCCACCAACGAGCTTAAGGGGGCAGGATGCCTAATTTTGATGTTAGCGAGCCGAAGGTATGATACGATTCAAAAAATTGACCTGCCGTATCTTTCAAGTAGAAACAAACTTAAGAAACACAGTAATTTTGCAGCCGGCGGCCGAGGCCCGTCACGTGACCGACATGGCAAGTTGCAGAGGTAGGCTAACCTTCAACGAGTAGTGGAGTGCTCAACATACTTTGTGGAACTAAACCATTGATGTCGGTTGACTGGACGCCACGTCGTGATCAGTTGTGGTTCGGGGTGTTCTCTGGGCCGCAAAATGCACATGGGGTGGCGGGTCTGGCATGCAGAATAGGGCCACCAGAACGAAGCCAGGTTCTTTTACGATTTGTTCCAAGCTCTCAGTTGCTGACTGCTTAAGCTCCTTTTTCTGTTCCCGTTTGCTTTCATATGTCTTTATTTCTTCATATATGTCTTATTGATGCCTTCATTGGTATCTTGATTTATTCGTTGATGTATTCATATATGGGTAACTCTTCATTTATGTCTTTATTCATGTCTTCATTTGTGTCTTCATTTATTCATACATGTCTGTTTCTTCATATATGCCTTCATTTGTGTCTTCATTTCTCCATTTCTTCATTTCTTCATTTCTTCATATATACCTACTTCTCCATACTGTCTTCATATCTTCCATTCCTGTATTCATTTGTATCTTCATGCATGTTTTCAAAAATGTTTTTATATGTCTTTAATTCTCGAATTATATCTTCATTTCTTCATTCCTTCATTTATATCTTCATTCTCCAAATCTTCATGCATGTCTTCGCATATGTCAAATTCTTCAAGCTGTCTTCATTTCTTCATTTCCCCATTCTTTCATTTCTTCATAGATGCCTATTTCTTCAAGCTGTCTTTATTTCTTCATTCCTTCATCATATCTCCACATTTTCATGTCTCCATTTTCATGTCTCCATTTTCATTTCTTCATTTTCTCATTTCTCCATTTCCTCATTTCTTCCTTTCCCCATTCCTCCGTTCCTTCATCAGATCTTCAATTCTCCACTTCTCCATTTTCATTTTTTCAATTTCATATCTCCACTGTATCTGATAATTGAAAGGTGAACCTTAAGAATCATATCCTTACGACCCGAAGCTAAAATACACCCTAAATGGTTTCTTCTTGCAAATTTATTTTCAATAAATTTGTTAATTATCTTAGGTATTGGAGCAGTGATCAAAAGTTTTAAAGGTACAAACCGAGTAAACTTCTTACCATAACGACTAGTAGTTTCTACTTTATATACTTTGTTATGAAGTTTCCAAATATGGGCTCCTAAAAAGTCAAAACCTTCTCTGATTTGTGTTATCAGGGTTTTATCTATATTTATTATTGCTTTACATCTATCTTCTAATATATTTTTAATTTTACTACGTATATTTATCGCATCTTCTTTGGATCCAATAACTAAAATAACAAAATCATCCGCAGATCTTACATAAAGTAATCTTTTGAACTTTGAGTCCATAGGATTTTTAGAAGGTAATTTTGCTCTTAACAATCTTGCCTCCTATTTCTCTTAATTTATTTTTACTTGAAATAGATCATTGACCTTTACGTTCGGATTGTAATTTACTTAATAATAAACGACGTGTTAGGGACTTCACGGGACATAGGCGTTATGTATTACTATTTGATCACTGGTTTCTCTAGAACTCTACAGGAGTTCTATTCCACCTTTATATACTTTACCCAGAGGTCACGTGGACGGAACCTTTAGAACTCGAAAGAATATTCTATGAGTTGTCTAGAATGGTATCTGACGGAACTCACAGTAATGGAAGTACATATAGCCATATATGCGCTTACAAGGACCATCAGTGTCAAGCTGATACCAGGGACCTTACACGACGCTCATTAGTAAATAATGATTCTAAATATTCACTAGTTTCATCCGTATGTTTATATCCTATACTAGTACCTGCTTCTGTTAATATATTATATTTAGGCATTAATGATATCAAATACATTGTTTCTAATTCATACAAATATTTTCTGTTTTGTAATGGTTCTGTAATTAAATTATTATCATTATAAGGATAATATTCTAATATAGCAAATATAAAATTATTCAAACCATCTTTTGAGACAGCTTTTTTTACTAATTTACTACCGTGTAAATTTAACACATGATTAGTGAATCTTCAATAAATATTATATTTATCTGCTGAACCTATTCAATAATTATGTGCTACTTATTAATTAATATATATATACCACCTTTGTTTTTCAGATGTTTTATCATTTTTGAACGTAAATTATCATCATGAAGATTGATTCAATAATCTTTAACTTTAATACCTAATTTATTCAATATATCGATGCGGAACTTGGGGAAGTAACCGCTGAAGATCAATATAAGAAAGATCCGCGGGCTCGGAATGATCGTAGTATTGATTATGACTTCAATGCCGGCCCGAAGGGCGGGAATGATAAGTCAGACAAGAAAAATTATAGTGATTTGTGAGCTTTAATGAAACCTTCTAATGAAGATGAAAAGCCTAGTAAACGTATACCTATACGTGAAACTAAGCCAGACTTATTTGTAGAAGGCTGTCTCATTCCACCAGGCATGGCCCGCGAAGTGCGCACGACCGACTCGCTCGGACGCAGGACCAGCGGCGAGACGTCCGTCGAAGGCCGAGCATTGTCACCCACCAAAAAGACGTGCTGCTCTTTTTTGCTTGTAACTACTGGGCGTTCACACAAAGACGCTCGTGGCGCTCGTGATCCTCGTGGCCCCGTGGCCCGCGTGATCCCGTGGCCCCAAATGCCACACACCACGAAACAAGTCGCCTTATTGAAACGGCTACCGTCAGAGGCCGTGCTCCTGCATAGGCCCTCGTTGCCAGACGCGTGCCGCGGGCATCAGGCCGGCCATGGCCCCAAAAGCGACGCTCAACACCACAGGCCCGACCGTCCCAGCGCCCGCATCCACCCGGCCACGCCCCCGCCAAACCCACCACGACCCCCGCGAGCCCGCGCAAGCGCCAGCAGAAACACCCCGCGCCGCACACCATGACCGGCCCCACGCTGCTCCCCATCAAGCTCCAGCCGTCCAACGTGCGCCCCGTCGCCTACCGCGTGCTCTCCAAAAAACACGGGCTCAACCTCCAGTCGGACGCGCTCGTGGTGCTCGCGGAGCTCTTCAGCACGCGCTTCGGCGCCGAGTGGCGCGGCCCGCGCGCCCAGCAGTTCCTCGAGGAGCTCGCCAAGCAGTGGAAGAAGCAGGCCCGCGGCCTCTTTATCGACGGGCCGGGGTGCACGCAGATCATCCAGGAGATGACCAGGGAGGACACCAGGGCCATCAAGGAGGCCGCCAGAGAGGCCAGGGAGGACACCAGGGAGGCCAGGGAGGACACCAGGGAGGCCACAGAGGACACCAGGGAGGCCAGAGAGGACACCAGGGAGGGCACAGAGGACACCAGGGAGGCCACAGAGGACACCAGGGAGGCCACAGAGGACACCAGGGAGGCCAGGGAGGACACCAGGGAGGCCAGGGAGGACACCAGGGAGGCCACAGAGGACACCAGGGAGGCCAGAGAGGACACCAGGGCGGCCACCAACGACACCACCAGGGACACCAGAGAGGCCACCAACGACACCAACGACACCACCAGGGAGCCCCCCCAGGCCTTGGACTGGCGCCACTTCGTGCGGTTCGTCACGCCGGACACGCAGCCCAACTTCGAGTTCGACCGCGTGCGGCGGCAGTTCTCGCCGCGCGAGGCGGCCGGCCGGCGGCTCCGGCCCACGCTCCGCGCCGCCACCGACCACCTCCGCCAGCGGTACTTCTTGATGTGCGACCGCATGTCGCGCGACGACAGCTTCCAGAAAACGTCCTTCTCCAGCGTGGCGGCGCTCAGCCACGCCGGCGCGGCGCCCGCGCGCCCCGAGCTCACGCTCGTCAAAAACGTGTTGGGCCGCGACGGCTCGCGCTTCCGCTTGTTCGGGCTCCTCGCGCGCAACGCCAGCGGCGACCTCGTGTTGGAGGACAGCTCGGACCGCATCGAGCTCGCCGTGGCGCGCGCGGCCCAGGCGCCGGGCTCGTTCTTCTGCCCGGGCATGTTCGTGATTGCCGACGGCATCTACGCCGCGGCCGGCGGGCGCCGCCACAGCGCCGCGGACGAGATCAGCGGCTGCTTCCACGTGTCCGTGCTCAGCCAGCCGGTGGCCGAGCCGCGCGACGCGGCCTTGGACGCGTACGGCCACCTCGACTTCATGGGCATGCACCTCGAGTCGCCGGGCACGCCCCCGGGCCTCCCGGGCACCCTCGCCCGGGCGCCCGGCAAGATCGACCGCGCGCTCCGCCGCCGCCTCGCGGCCGTGGAGCGCACCTTGCACGGCCACCGGCTCGTGCTTGCCGACTGCAACGTGCACCTCGACGAGCCGCGCGTGCGGGCCGCGCTCTCGCGGCTCTTTGCCGTGTTGGAGGAGCAGCTCGGCGACGAGCAGGCCGCGGCGGGCGCGGCCGGCGCCACGCACGTCACCGTGGTGTTGGCGGGCTCGTTCTGCTCGCAGGCGCTCACGCCGGCCACGGGCTCCGTGACCGCGGAGGCGCGCTCGGACGCGTACAAGGCCGGCTTCGACTGGATGGCGCAGATGCTCGCCGCGTGCCCGCTCGTGGTGCGCACGTGCACGGTGGTGTTGGTGCCGGGCGCCCGCGACCCGTGGCAGTCCACGTTCTCGTTGGGCCGGCCCGGCGGCGGCACGCTCCCGCAGACGCCGGTGCCGCGCGTGTTCGTGACGCGGCTCGAGCGGCTCTTGCCGCGCGGCTCGCTCGTGCTCGGCTGGAACCCGATGCGCGTCAACTACGTGTCGCAGGAGATCGTGTTGTTCCGCGACGACGTCATGGCCAAGCTCAAGCGCAGCGACCTCGCGTTGGCCGCGGCCGCCGGGCCCGACGCGCCGCCCGACCCGGCGCCGCCCTTGCTGCCCAAGGTCCGCCAGGCCCGGGTGTTGGTCAAGACGTTGCTCGACCAGGGCAGCCTCCAGCCGCTCCTCCGGGGCCTGCGCGCGGTGAGCCCGGCCTACCAGCACGCGATGCGCCTCGAGCCGCTCCCGACCACCGTGGCGCTCTTTGACGCGCAGTTCGAGCCGTTCGACGTGACCTACAACGGGTGCAAGACGGCCAACGTGGGTGCGTTCATCAGCAACCACAACGTGCGCACGGCGCACTACACGGAGTACAGCCCGAGCACCAAGAGGTATACGCACAAGGAGCTCCTGTTCTAGGGCCGCTGTTGGGCGTGGCGGCCGGTGCGGGCGCCCGGCTTGCGTGCTCGGTTTGTCTGCGCCGTCGCGGACTGTGGCGGCGAGGGAGGGATGAGGGAGGAGAGGAGGGAGGAGGAAATGGAAGAAATGGAAGAAATGAAGGGAAGTGAGGGATGAAGAGGAAGTGAGAGATGAAGAGGAAATGAAAGATGAAGAGGAAGTGAAAGATGAAGAGGAAATGAAAGATGAAGAGGAAATGAAAGATGAAGAGGAAATGAAAGATGAAGAGGAAATGAAAGATGAAGGGAAGTGAAGGGAAGTGAGAGATGAAGAGGAAATGAAAGATGAAGAGGAAATGAAAGATGAAGAGGAAATGAAAGATGA